CCCAGGAGCCGGGGAAACGAGCAGTCAGCAGTCCTGACCTGGGTCCAAACCCCACCAGTGACCCCCCCCCCTCACACACACCCCCTCCGGGGAGCAAGATTCTATCAGCGGAGACGTGACCAGCACCCCCTCCACACACACCCCCTCCGGGGAGCAAGATTCTATCAGGGACGTGACCAGCACCCCCTCCACCTCCCCCACCCCCCCTCACACCACATCCTCATCAGGACCCAGCGAGCTCGAGATTTACTCTGAATTCCTTCCCTCACTGAGACAACCAGCCTCGACCGATTCCAGCACCTCCCCCATCCGGCTGCTGCTTTTCAGCCGCACGATATACAGTCACTACACTTTACAGTGTATGCTGTGAAGCGCTTTGAGACGTCTCGGAGACCTGATAAGGCGCTGCATCAAATGCAAGGATAATTATTCTTAATATTATTATTGTCAGAGACGTTAAACCCAAGTGACGTCCGACCTCGGATAACGACCAACTTACGACTCAGTGAGAAAACATATGAGCGAGAAGTTTTACCTTAAACGTGACTTTCTTTGCCATCCGCGCTGTCTCCCGGCCACTGGCCGCCGAGTGCTGATCCCACCCGAGACCCTCGCTCTCCGGAGCGCCGGGAATGCCAGAGCTTGTCACCCCGAAACCAAACCGGGGGAGACTGACATCAAAACCTCTCTCTGTGGAGGCTCCGAGTGAGAGCGAGAGAGAGAGAGAGAGGAGAGAGAGAGCAGGAGAGATGGCGAAACAGCAAGATATAAAGCGAAACAGTGAGAGAGACAACAAGGGAGAGAGAGAGAGAGACAGCACGAGGCAACGAGATAGCGAGACAGTGGGATAGCGAGACAGTGGGATAGCGAGACAGTGAGATAGGGAGTAAGAGTGAGAGAGACAACAAGAGGGAGAACAGCCTATTGAAACAGAGTCAACAACCACAGAGCTGCCTCAGCGCCCCCACCCACCCCCCCCCACCCCAACACCACGCAAACAAAGCTATCGATCGCACATTGAAGTGAAAGACACCGCCTCAAACACAGGATTATTATTGTTAATAACGGCAACGAGATGAGATGAGTTCCTGGGCAGTGAAACACTAGCGTGACCGAATGACTGTTATTTTATTTATTAATAAAGGATTTGGAAACCGGTGGAGCTCCATCTAATTGCGATGGGCCGAATGGCCTCTTTTGTGGAGTCCGGTAGCTCAGTGGTTAGAGCGCTCGCCTCGGTTTGATTCCCGTGGCAGGGAGAAACATTGGGCAAGTTTCCTTACTCCGCGCGCCTCTGTTTATCAGCAGTAAGTAGGAACCCGGTTGTAAGTCGATTGGCGGATCGCTTTTCGAGGGGTAACAAATCCCTTTTTTAAAAAAAATGTGTTCACTCGATCCCCGACTGTTCGTTCGTGGGGACGTTTCGCCCACAAAATGCTCAGTCAATTCCCTTTCCAGTATATTCTATGAAGCGGTTTGAGACTTTTCAACAACAAGATGCTGTATCGAATGCAAGGATCATTAATATTATTAATATCACTTTTCTGTGTCGCAAGTTCGACCAACGCTGATCTCCGCGGGGGGGAGAGAGAGAGAGAGAGAGAGAGGGAGGGAGGGAGAGCTCCTGAGAGCGACACCTGATCCGGATTCTGTGCATTTTATTCACAGCCGCTAAATCCCGAAGTTCCTCTCGTTAACATTCAGCTTCCGATACCTCCTCCCTCCCCTCCCACCTGGCAGCTGGGAAGAGACAGGGTGAGAGATGACAGCTTGTGGCTCAGCCTCTGTCGCCCTCACCAGCTCTCTCCCGGGTCAGCGGGTGTGTGGGCTTGAGCCCCCGACCCGTCGCACCCCCACCAACGTCAGGGGGGGCTTTGAGCGCGCGGTCCAGGCTCCGGCACTGCACAGGTGCTGTTTGTGCTCAGAAAATCTGACCAAATTGCAAAACAGAATGGCTGGGATTGTAAACAGCTGCCCCCACCCCCACCCTATCCACTTGCCAACACCCCCCCCCCCCCTCCCCACCACCCCACCGCCTCGCTCGCCAAACCTCCCCTCCTCCACCCACGGCCGGCACTTTGCACATGGCAGTTTTTCCCAAACACTGACCAACATTCCTTTCCCACGGAAAAAAGGACAACAGCTCCTCACAAAAACAGCGCACACACACACACACATACATTCAGACACACCCACACACACAGACACACACACAGACACACACACAGACACGCACCACCCCTTGGCCATATACATTATTTAATTAAGTTTAAGCGCGTTCGCAGCCGTGTGCTCACGAAACCCAGTTCCCAAGTCACAGAGAGAATAAAACAAGAAGAAATGATTCACAGCCCCGTCCCTCCCACCCCAACACTCCACCTATATAACCCTCCACCTAACACAGGACACCCCCACACACCACCACCACCCGCACTGTGCACAAATCATGCCCGCCTACAAACCACACAGTCACTACACCTAACAGTAAACGCGGTGAAGTGCTTTGAGATGTCCCCCTCCGCGTGGAAGGCGCTTGGGGGCACGATATTAAATGTGGGGATTATTATTAGATTTCAGAAGCCTTGAATTCTAGAGCCTTTCGCCCACAAAATACACAGTCACTACACTTTACAGCATTACGCTGTGAAGCGTTTTGAGACGTCCTGAAGACGCTATATCAAGTGCAAGGATTATTATTATTAACACGCTATCCGTTTGTGAGAATGGGGGGGCGCGGGGGAGCTGGGGATCAGCCTCGCTGCGGCCTCTCCCACCTCCGCGCTCTGAGACTGTGGGTGACCCCCACTCCGCTACTCCTCCGCGCTCTCACTCTCTCTCTCGCTCGCTCGCTCGTTCGCAAACCAGGCATTCCCCTCCGGAGGTCAGAGGTGCCGAACGGAATGCGAGATCACAAGAGGAATGTGGAGGAGCCTTGGAAACCGGGCATCAGTGAGAAACACAGGGACACCAGCCCCTACCTCCCCACACCCCCAGCCTGCCTCACCCCCTCTCCCCCCCCCACCACCCACCATCCGTGTCCCGGGATGGTTGGGGGTTGCGGGGTGGAGGTGGGGGGAAACGGAGTGGGGGCTGGTGCCTCGCTGGCTGTTTTCTCAACCACAAACTTGCCGGCTCAACACTCCAGACTCCAGTCAAAACAGCTGATAGCCCTGTGAGCAAACATAATGCACACGCAGGTTGGCAATTTTGTGTGTCAGCCTGTCCTCAGGCACTCGCACTCTCACCTCCAGCTCAGAAGGCTGTGATTTCAAGCAAACACACATACACACACACACACACACACACACAGAGACACTCACACACACACACACTCACTCACTCACATACACACTCACGCACGAAACAGACGCAGACAGACACACGCACAGAAACACGCAACAGACGCGCACACTCACACACAGAAACACACTCACACCGACAACAACTTGGATTTGTACAGCGCCCTCTCACGCCGGACGGCGTCTCAGAGCGCTTCACAGTAACGGATCCCGGGACCGAGCCGCGGGGGGGGGGGGGGGGGGGAGGAAGGTGACCAAAGAGTCAACAAGTCAAAAAGAAAGGTCTTCAGCAGAGACCTGAAAATAGGAAGAGAGGGTTGAGGGGTAGAGTCCTGGAGCACTTGACCAGTGATAGAGTCTGACCCCGAGCCGGGGGGAGAGGGAGTGGGGAGGTGACCGTAAGCACGATCAAAAAGGGAAGGTCTTTAGATGGGATTTGAAGGTGGGGAGGGAGAGGGGGCAAGGCGGAGGGATTGAGGCACAGAGTTCCAGAGTTTCGGGGCGTAGTAGCTGAAGGCACGGCTACCGATGGTGGAGCGGAGGAGACGAGGGACAAACAGGAGGCCGGAGCCAGCGGGTGGTGGAGTGGGGCGTAAGCAGGTCGGAGAGGTAGGGAGGTGCCAGGGCATGAAGGAAAAACAAGAACCCAGGAAGAGGAACAGGAGACTTTGGGAGGATTGAAATGGAATTTTAATTAAATTTATGGAGCCACGACACCTCCAATTATATATAATGGCTGAACACACAGCAGCTGGAGGGTGTCCGGGCAGAAAGGACACTCGGCATTTAATTTTCCGGGTCAACAGTCAAGACAACACAGCACCTAATTAATACAGTCGGATACAGAGACCGAATACAGAAACGATCACAAGAATAATAATAATAATAATCCTTACATTTAACACAGCGCCTTATCGTGCCTTAGACGTCTTTAGACGGAATATACTGTAAAGTGGATTGACTGTATATTTGTGGGCGAAACCCGGCAGCTGCGGTTCCCTGACCGTCCAGCGCCTTGGGACGTCCTCCTGACGTGAAAGGGGCTGTGAAACTATCATTTGTTGTTGTTGTTGAGTGTACGTGAAGGGTTGAAAGGAAAAGACAGTGACAGACAGATTCCTGATACACTGGTGCCGCCTGCTGGCAAACAACAGGTCTGAGAGACTATGTTACCGCGCTGGGATTTCCCGGATGAGTTTGCGGACCCTTCGGGCAGGTTTGTTGCCGGTCAACAGGTCTCAAACTCCCGGTAATATTTCCGGATGATGTCTCTAAGTTTCCTCACTCCACACGCGCGCCTCTGTTTAGCCAGCAATAAGCAAGAACCCGCTTGTTAGTCGATTGGCGGATCGCTTTTCCGGGGGTAATAATCCCTTCAAAAAAAATAATAATAATGGGAATTTGGTCACTCAATCCACGACTGTTTGTGCGCAATTGGCTGCCACGTTTCGTCCACCAAATATACAGTCCATTCACTTTACAGTATATTCTCTGAAGCGCTTTGAAACGTCTCAATGACGAATGCAAGGATGATCATTATTATCCAACACATTGATGGGTTTCAGCCCAAATCGATTGTCGGGACATTGATATAAAAATCAGTGGGATACGTGCAAATTCATTCAGAGTCTCTTGCGTTGTGAGCGAGCATTTAATAGCAATAATGCGCGCATTTTTTTTGAGCTCTTACTTCTGTATTAGGGCAGACCACGTGCGGACTGTTGCTGCTTCTGAGTGGGTGAAACTGAGAATTGAAAAATAAAGTTGAGCCCTGAGCAGCGGAGATACACACGACACAGACAATCAACCTCAGGTCGGACCGAGAAAAGACTGAGAGGCTGTCCTCATGAGCGACCCACGCAACGCAAATGCAACCGGTGAGTTAAAGGCATCTGAGCGGCTAAAAGTTATCACTGGTTGTTAGTCGATTAACGGATGTTTTTTTTGGGGGGTAATAACCCCCTCCAAAAAAAAATAATCATGAATAATTTGATCACTCAATCCACGGCTGTTTGTGGGGACGCTGCTGTGCGTCATTGGCTGCTGCGTTTCACCCACAAAATATACAGTCAATTCACTTTACAGTGTATTGCATTTGGTGCAGCACCTTATCACGTTGTCGAGACATCTCAAAGCGCTTCACAGAATTACTATAAAGGGTGTATTTTGTGGACTGAGTGCTGTTACACCCCCTTCTCTCTCACTCTCTCTCCCTTTTTGTCTCTAACCCAAGGCTGCAAGGCTAACCTGTGGCAGAAATACGATGGAATGCAACATTCCCAAGGTTTCAAAATCCTCAAGAACAAATCTGGGCTCATCCCGCCCTGGGATGGGATTGCGGAGCAGGTCGCACACACAGGTTTTTATCCAGTAACATTTACTATGAAATCACCGGCTGCCTTACTGCGGGCATTAACTTCGCTCTCACACTTCTTCAAATCCCTTCCCGCCCCAGCACCTCCCTACCTCTCCGACCTGCTCACTTCTCTGTTCCCTCCGCTCGCCTGGCTCCAGCCTCCTGCTTGTCACTCGTTCTCTCCTCCGCTCCACTATCAGTGACCGCGCTTTCAGCCACTACGCCCTGAAAACTCTGGAACACACTCCCTCAATCCCTCTCTCCTTGCTTGCCCCTTCCCTCCTTCCGCATCTTCGGGAGCCCGAAGACCTTCTTCTTTGACCGTGCCTACGCCTCTCCCCCCCGCCACTGTCAAGCGCTCTGAGACGCTACGCTGCGGGAGTTGCGATATACAAATGTTGTTGTTGTCACTCGGTGTCAGACGCTGCCACATCGCAGCAGTCTGAGACTGTCCTGTGTGATGGCCGCTGTTGCCATTCCGCCCCCTCCCTCGCTGGCGCTGGCGCTGGCGCTCTCGCTCGCTCTATTTGTGTTTCTCTTAAGCAGAGGATGACGGCATCAAATTCAGCCTTGTGCGCTACAGACAAATGGACGCGTCTTTGGTTAAAGGGTTTCCTGTGGCAATTCAAGTTCATGTTTCTGAGAAAGTCTATCACATCTGCTGCGACAAGGAAGAGAACCGTAAAGTTCTGAAATTCAAGGTAAATTATAACCACCTTCCCTTCCCACCACCCCACCTCCACCCCATTTGTGGAGTCCTGTAGCTCAGTGGTTAGAGCACTCGCCTCGCAAGCGAGAGGACCCGGGTTCAATTCCTGGGCAGGTGGGGCGAAATCTTAGGCAACTTTCCTTACTCCACACACCTCTGTTTTCCCAGCAGTAAGTAGGAACCTGGTTGTGAGTCGTTTGGCGAACCATTTTTCCGGGGGTTAAAAAAATAAAAATAATTTGATGACTCAATCCATGGCTGTTCGTGGGACACTGATAAGCGTAATTGACTGCTGTGTTTCATCCACAAAATATTAAGTCAATTCATACACAGAATACTTTATATTCTGTGCAAAGCTTTGAGACATCTTGAAGATGTGATAAGGCAGAGTATCAAATGCAGTGATGATTAAGGATTAGAAATCTCTATCCTTAATAGAAATATAAAAATTCCGATTTAAAAAAAGTAGTTTAGCTCTCTCGCTCTCTCTCTCTCTCTCCCTGGAGGGATGCATCCTGCTTACCCAACTCTGGAAAGTATTAGGAGCAGGTTGGCAAGAGCCAAGGATTGCGGGAGCCCAGAGTATGGGTTAGGGATATCTTATTCCCAGAGCCTGAGTCATTCTGAGCAACAATCAGTTTCCGCATTTCCGCACATCAAAATCCCACGTACAGAGCTCTCTCATCTGACAAATGTGCCTCGAGTCCATCTCGGATCCTGTGAGGTTAGACCACAACTCATTCCGTCTCTCAATTCCCACAACAAACTAGCCGCAAAGTCAAGAGCATACGTTTCCCCCACAAAAGGTGCTAACCCGAACTCTGTGTGCGCCTGGGAAACATTGCTTTAGATCACGGTGTGTTGAAGTGTGCGCGTGCGTATGAAAAATAAACATACACCTTCAATTAGTCTCTTAAGCCGAGCCAATAAATACACAATACACAATCACTGGACTTCACAACAACTTACATTTATTGCGCTCACTTCACACGGGGTAGCGACGCAGAGTGCTTTACAGAAAATCCTGTGAAGCGCTTTGAGACAACTCCCCACTGCGAATAAATGTGCAGCGATGTGGGTTAAGAGCGGGGGAGCAGGACTAGTTAGTAGCTCTTTCAAAGAGCCGGCACAGGAAAGATGGACTGAATGGCCTCCTTCTGTGCGCTAAGATTCTATGACTCCATATTAAAAAAAAAGTTGAGTTTCAGTTCTCTCTCTCTCGCTCTCTCTCCCACTGCCCGGGCCACACGTGTAGGAAGGTATTGCACCAACAGGAGTGGTGTACGAGATGAGGAACATAATCTTTTACCGTCGGCAGTTCGAGGGGAGGTATTGCAAGTTCGAGTCAGCTTGTGAGAGCGGCTGGTTTCTGTGCACGGAGCAGACGGACGGGCAATACAAGATGGCCCTGAAGAAACCGGAGAGAGAAGTGGACGAGACCTTAGTGGTATCCGTCGACTGACTCTCCAAGAGATGTTCTCTCCCCTCAAAAACTCCCTTCTTTCTGCTTCTCCCCCACCCCCACCAACACCCTCGGCTCAGAAAACGACCTCTCCTCTTCCCCCAATGCAGCAAACGATGCCTCGCTTCCCAGAGCAGAGAGCTTCCACACTCAGCACGGCTCATAGTCGCAACATCAACTTAAAATTAATTAATAACGAGCCGTCGCCGTTGCAGCTTCGCTTGCAACCAAAGGATCCAATATGGAATGCAGATTGACACACAAGACGAGACATTTTATGTTCATCTATACTCAGCTGGGAGGACTCCTGTGGGAGGACTAGTGGTTGGAGTGCATACATGTGATGAGCTTCTCTGGTCATAGCTTTTCTTTCACTACTTTTTTGCAGTATATATTAGTATAAACGTATCTTTCTAGAAGGGCGTGATTTCCTCTCTGCCTACTTTGTTGCTACCATGCGTACCTCACATTTTGGGGTTTAATTAAAGCATTTTTCTAAATATAGCCCAACGACGATAAGAGATCTCTGAAAAAAAATATGCCCATGACACTCCCCCACACAAGACCTTTCCGATGAGGTGTAAATGTCTCTACGTCAAACAGTTATTGCGTACTTGGCGGACAGACACACACACAGACACACACAGACATTTCGCCTTTATTAGTATAGGTAATCATTTGATATAGCGCTTTATCACATCTTCAAGACGTCTCAAAAACGGTTCACAGGATACATTGGAACGTGAATTGACTTGTTTGGTGGGCAAGATTTTGTGAAGCGATCTGATAACATCACATCTCGTTAAAATGGAAAATGTACACTGCACAAAGGTTTAATAAAGGTCGTATGTTACGTCTTGGCTCGATGTGTTTTTTCCTTCCCTCCTTCCTCCCTACCCCTCCTTTTTAAAATAATCCACCCCCGACCCCTTTACACTTCCTGTGATTCTCAGACCTGACTCAGGAACCATAGGGTATCATACATGACTTGGTAGTCCCGTAGCTCGCCTCTCAAGTGATTCCGGTTTGATTCCCGGGCAGGGGGCGAAACCTTAGGCAAGTCGCCTGTACTCCACGTGCTCGGTTTACCTACCAATAATAATAAATACTTGCATTTGATATAGTGCCCTATCACATCTTTGAGATGACTCAAAACGCTTCACAGAATATATTGTAAAGTGAATTGATTGTAATATTTTGCGGGTGAAACCCAGTTTTAGGTGATCGGCAGATCACTTTCCAGGGTTAATAATCAAAATAAGAATAATTTGACATTCAATGACTGTTTGTGGATCACTTCTGTGCGCAAATGGCTGCCGTGTTTCGCCTAAATTCACTTTACAGTGTACATTCTGTGAAGAGCTTTGAGATGTCTCAAAGGTGTTATAAGGTGCTATATCAAATGCAAGGATTATTATTAATTATACTCAACAACAACAGCGTGCCGTTTGGGTTTTTATAATACACTTTAATCATTTTAAAGATTACATTTGTTTTTTTTTCCTTTTTACACTGGAATGTTGTCATATTCCTTCGAATACATTTTACATGGTGTTACAAAAATCTGCTCTCCAATTACCGTTTATCCCAAATCTGAGCGAAAGAGGAAGAGAGAGAGAGGGAAAAAAAAATAAAGAAAAAAAAATAAAGGAAGTCACTTCACAATTAGAAATTAAATTCAACGTAAGGGCTAAAATTATACTTACAGCTAAGCTGGCAAGGTGATATGACAAAGGCTTATTAACAGTTTCTGCAACTGACAAAGGCTGTCAGCAAAACATCAGCCCTTTTCCAGACAAAGACAGTGTTGTTTTTATTCCGTTTGGTTAATTAAAATATTAATATCAAACTTTTGTTTCAGATCTGAGAATATTTCGGCAGACTTTTTGGGGGCACGGAGGGAGGGGAAGGGCCTTGGCACAATGGCCTAAAACAAACTAAGGCGATGGATGGATTGATCAATGGGTCACGTGGCCTAAACCTCTCATGTACACAAAAATACTGTGCGTTTTTTTTTTGATGTTCGTTATTAAAGGGATGTTATGGTCTTCGGTCTCCTGAACGGGCGAACCCCTCACGCTGCCTCGGGATCCTGGGGAACGTGCTCTGCTGTCTCGATTTACAATATCTCGTACTTGTCGACCAATAACATGGTTTCCGAAGAGTACCTCACTGGGCTGTTGCCCTCCACGTGGCTGATGCCACTCACCTGCAAGGGGGGGGGGGGGGGGGGGGAGAGAGGGCGGGGGAAAAAACAGAGACAGTCTCACACTCAACCCTCGGCGTAAGTCACTCAGTCATCAGAGGCCTAAAGTCTTTCAACCACCGTCATAGTCGCCATTGACTATGATGTTTATTTCTTTGACTGCGCCTCCCGTTGCCTGCGCCTCCCGCCCGGCTTGGCATCGTGCTCAGTCACTGTCAAGTGCGCTGGGACGTTACTCTACCCGAGGGGCACTGCGTAAATGCGAGCTATTGTATTTAGGGATTACTTCAGCTCAGCGCCCTTTTACAAGGGTGCTAAATTCAGTCTGGATTGTGAGCTCAAGCCCCAACGCGGGGTTCGAACCCACAACCCCCTGACCCAGAGGGGAGCAGAAGCTAAAACAGTTGAATTAGCCCATAACAAAGTTCTTACCTGTATATTGCAGTAATTCTTTTTGGAGACGAAGGAGACATTGATGGGGAAGAAGTCGTTGGGCTGGCCGGCGATGCTGAACTCCAAGCTGCCGGTCTTGTTTTTGGCATCGATGACCGGCAGGCACCACTCGAGGATGCTTCGCCTGCTGTCATGGCGGTAATCGCCATCAATGTCGCCGATCACAGGCGCACCCAAGCCAGCTCTACAACAGCAACAAATTACATTTACACGGCGCCTTTCACACCGGGAGGACGTCCCAAGACGCTGGACAATCGGGGATTTGACCTGAGCTGGGGGCTGGGATCAGGAGGGGCTGGAGGGACTGTGGGATGGAGTTCCAAAGCGTGGGGGGCAGAGACTGAAAGCCCGACCTCCGATGGTGGGGATGGCCGGCCGAGCGGGGAAAGAAGAACGGAATTCATACCCAGCTCGGGTTTCCAGCTTCTTAAGTTAGAATAAGATAAAGAAACGGCGCAAATAGACCATTTCTCTCGCTACAATGCAATACAGACCCGACACCGGGGTCAGGGATAGGCCTCATTGTGGACAAAACATAGTGCAGATATTGCGGACTCTGTGCGTTTCTCTCTCTCTGCTTCTCTAACAGTGTGCGGTGGGTATGAGGCTGAGGCAGCGTGTGTATGTGTATGTGCGTGTGGCTGGGATGGTGTGCACAGGTGTGTGACTGGGGTGGTATGTTTGAGCACTATGTTACGTACCAGTTCATGCCGTTAAAGTGCGCACTTTGCTACGATGTACACACGGGCACAACACAAATGTGGATGAGGCTGGCACGCAGGGCGGTCACTACACTTACGGGACTGGGATGAGGATGGAAACATCATTCAGCTCCAAGCTCTCCTCCTGCAGCTCGTACTCAATATTTACATCGCAGCCAGTAGCGCTCTCCGAGGGCCAGCAGTTAACTGGATCAGAGAGAGAGAGGGGGAGGGAGAGGGAAGAGAAAGAGAGCGCAATGAGAACCAGACAGAACTCAGAGCCCCTATGTTCCTGAGGTTGGTAAAGTTCCATCAGTCTTGCTCAGTCACCGTGTTCTGTAAACACAAACCAACCCGAACCCAACAACTCAAACGGACACGTGAAAACCAGCTTCGTTTTAAGTCTCTTAAGGCGGTATCTCTTCCCCTCGGTTTGCCGACTCTACACTAGTAATTAAGAGACATTGCGAAATACATTCAACCTGTTCCACTATTTGAAATACCATCTCCTTGTCTTTACCGGGTGTCTGAAACATCCCGAAACCCATCACCGTGCTTAAGAGTCTCCAAACAAAACTGAAATTTCCATGGAAATCCCAGAGATAGATTGTCGGAATGGAATGCACTCTCTCTCTCTCTCTGGAGGGATGCATCCTGCTTACCTAATTGCGGAAAGTATTAGGCGCAGGTCGGTTGGAGGGTGTGACATAGATAGGAGGCCATTCAGCCTGTTACACTATTTGAATTAGATGGCCTTTGCTCCAAACCAGCCCCCTTTTTTTTAATACTGTGCACAAATTGCAAGTAAAAGCTCATGAAAATTCTCCCGAAACCCAGTCGCAAAGTGCACTTGTGAATAAAGGCATTTTGGGTGAGAAGAGATGGGTTTCGTTAACCTTCCAACTGAGTCTGCAAAAACAATCCAGGAAATAATATCTCAGGGTATAATGTATAGTTTGAGTCACGACATGTGCAAGTGAATGCCAAGGTGGTGGAAGGGGAAGTGGATGAACCTAGAAAACTCTTGCGTTCTTAGAAGCAGACGGCACTCTGTAACCGGTCGATATGAAGCGTTCTGGTTCAGAAAGTTTTCCTTCCCCTTCGGCTTTATTGTCTGAATGCAGGCTGAACACTGTGATCATAATACAAGTAAAAAAAAATTAAAAAGCTCCAGGAGGAAGAGGCGAGACGTGATAAGAGAACCAAAACTCACTAGTTAGAGGAATGAGAGATTCATCTGTAGTTTGCAACCTCCATTTGAGCACCCCTACGTCATTGTTCAGTGGGAAGGACTTGTCAGGGTTCTTCAAGCCGATCAGACAGTCTGTAGTGAATAGCTTCTTGTCGACGTTCGGGTGAGTCTGAAAGAATGAAACCAATTGGTTTGTTTCAAGTTCTTGTTGCACCACAAACCGACTGACTGACCGGTCAAGTGTAAGGCTTGAAAGCAGACCGTACCCAGTCACTGTAACAGCCGAGATCGAGCATATTCACAGAGGGAGAGAAGTCCTGCAGAGAAGCATCAGCTACTTGAGACCCCTTGACCCACCCTTCACACCATTTCCGACATCAACAAATTACATTTAGCCCAGAGCCTTTGACGTCGGGAGGCACTGCACTGCACTGTCAGGGATTGGATTGGATTGGAATCAGGAGGGGAGGAGGGTGGCCGAAGGAGCGGTCGAAGAGGAGGGTCTTGAAGAAGGCAAGGGAGGGGGAGGGCGAGGTGAAGGGACTGTGCGATGGAGTTTCAATGGGTGGAGGCAGAGAGGCTGAAGGCCCAACCGCTGATGATGACACACACAAAATGAAGGTTTCACACACAGCCTCCCTCACACAAGGTTTACCTGTAACTGGACGCCTTTTTGTCGTCGTTCTCCACCTGAAGGCGGATCCTCCCATACTTGTCATCGCTGACCCGCAGGGTGATCATGCCGTGGACCTCCATGTTCTGTAGGCCCCCGTCCCGGCCGCACGTCAGCGAGATTTTCTCTTCCACCTTCAGGTGCACGCTGTGGTGGGGGGAGGAGAGACATTAAGAGAAGTCATCAGGAGGACGATGGCAAGAATCTGGATCGCTTTGGGGATGACTTCCTGCCCTCAGTGGCTGGTCTGCTATTTCAAGTCCTACTGATGAGCCAGGCTGTCATCAGTAGTACCCTGGAATACTGCGAACCCGCCTGGCTCAGGAACCAGATGAGCGAGACTGCCACAGAGGGGAGGGCTGGCTCGATTCGACTTTCCGTTGCCAACCGTATCACCTTGGAGCCAGTTCAACTCCGAGGAGACCCCGTAAACACCCCCTCCAACCCAGGATTTAACAGACGGACAGAATCTACTTCCCGAAGAGAGCTCAAGGACCCTCTCGCCATATGTTACAAAGTAGGTTGTGAGCTTGGCACGAATTAGCACAGATCCAAAAAGGCAGCATTTTTGGGGGGAGAAAGCAGGTCAGAAAGGTAGGCCGGTGCTCGGGCGTGAAGGGATTTACAGACGAGTGAGATGATCTTGAAATCGATCTGTTCAGTGACGGAGCCAGTGGAGCCTGGCAATCTTGTGTGATGGGCGGGGAGGGAGACAGAGTTTAGTGCAAGTTTTCACTCACCTTTCTACATTTATGGGAGGTGAAAGGACCTTCGCTGCTTCTGACGAGCGCTTCGATGTGGTGCTGACGTGCTCTCCTTCTGATTTCAGCTTGTCCACAAAGTTCTCCACGTCCTTGCCCTTAGCTCCCAGCTTCAAGGCCTTGCTGGGACCAGAGGGTCTGAGGAAGCAAGCAGAAGTGTACTGAGTGTACTCTTGAGTGTTCACCTCAGACTTTCAGCCACAAGCTTCCCCCATTACATTCAGGATCAAAGCAGCCACACACATGGCATGCCAATGCCAAATCAGTGTTCACATTAGCCAATTACACACACACATACACACCACACGGGGGACACACACACACACAGCAGGAAAGTGAGACCTTTAAAAAAAGGTGCTCTAAACTTTTTCGTTCTCCATCCCTTCCCATCACCCTCCCCTCTCGTCTCCCCAACCCACACCCCCCATCCACCACAAAAAACAAGGGGAAAATAAAAGTCACAATAGCATCACACCAGCCAAACGATCCATCTGCAAAGATTCTAGTCTACGTCACACACTGCGTCACCACGGTCAAGCCATAACAACAACCAAAAACAAATAAATCTATGATTAAACAAAAATAAAAAGGGTTTTGCTTTGCATTGGAGAAATTCATTCCTTACATGGACTGGGTGCTAACAGAGAGGCACTCCCACCCGCATGCATTACAGAGAGGACTAAAAGAAACCATACCTGATGATATATAACACAGCTTCACAGGCAAGGCCGGCTGCATCAGCCCTTAATCCACAAGAGAACCCAATTGAGTGACAATGGGCTTAAATGACAGATTTGGTTGAGATATAAATCTATATATTCTGCATGTCCCCGTGCCCTCCGTTCCACCATCGTTAGCCACACTTTCAGTGGGTGTCTGACACACTCATTCACCGTTGCTTAAGAGTCTCCAAACCAAGCTGAGAATTCCATGCATCCCATCTACACATGGAAATCTCTGAGATAGATTGTTGGAATGGAATGCGCTCTCTCTCTCTCCCCCTCCCTCCCTGGAGGGACGCATCCTGTTTGCCTAATTCTGGAAAGTATTAGGCGCAGGTTGGCAAGAGCCAAAGTTTGGGGACCCAAAGAGTAGAGTCTAACCAGTTAAAACTGTATAACTTGCTATTGATATTTCTATCTCGCAAGCTTTCCCACTGCTTGTCCAGCTAGGACCACTCTATCTGTTAGGGGTTTGGCTTGAGGGTTAACAGGAGCTGAATGGGAGGATTACCTGCCCCCATTGACTAATCTGCAATTCCAAGGCTTCACAGAATATACGGTAAAACAAATTGACTGTCTTTTGTCGGTGAAACCCGACAGCCAATTGTGCACAGCAGTGTCCCGCAAACAGTCGTGGATTAAGCGACCAAATTATTATCTTTTAATTAATTTTGAATTTTTAAACACTGAACAAGAGGAAAGGCAGTCAGGAGGGGGAGATGGGGGGCTTTTACAATGTCAGTGGGTCATTCCACCAATTTAGAAATCTTGCAGGATCCGTTAGCAGAAGATCATTTGCTACATCCTTCGGACGAGATGTTAAACTGAGCTCCCCATCTTCCTGTTCACGTGGACATTAAAGATCCTGTTTCACTATTCAAAAAGAGAAGTAAGTCTCTTGCTTCCGGTGTGCTGGCCAGCAATTCCCCAGATAAAATTGGTCACTCGCTCATGATTGTTTGTGGGACACTGCTATGCACAATGGCTGCCATGTTTTGCCCACAAAAAAAAGAATTGGGAGTTAACCATATGAATGTAAATTTGCACTATAAACCTGATATAAACTGAGCCTGGAAGTCTATGTATCATCCCGCACTAGAGATAAGAGCCGGGTGGCAAATAAACCAAGACTACACAACGCAAGAAAGTGGGCAAGAAATTTAGTCGGCAAAATAATTTGCTTTGAAGAAAACCTGGGATTCTAAAATCACGTCAGCGTCAATCATTGGGCTCCATTGTTCAGCAAAGCCACATCGCTAATTCATGCATTTGTTTTTGTTAACTGCAAGGCTGGGATCAAGCTGTGCCAACCCACACCGACAGATGAAGATCACACAGTGTCAAATCTAGGTCAGGTGGAAGTGTTGACTCGTTACTGAGTGAACGTTGAAGACTCGAGAAACGTTTCTTCACGTGGGGTGGGTTATAAAAACACTGCACTGTCACCCAGGGTTAATAATGGGCTAGATTTTCATCAGCAGCTACACAACCAGAGCGAGAGCACTGGGAGGCATCGGGGCCGCACAATAACCATAATGTATTTTTATTAAAAAAGTTAAAATTCGGTCACGCAATCCACAACTAAATGTGGGACACTCCTGTCGCAACTGGCTGCTGCGCTTCGCCCACAAGACAGTCACAAGTTTAGTGGGCTAAATGGTCTTCTATTGCTACCCCCCACTCCCACCAGCACAGGATTTTCAGGAGGCAAACATTTTTTTAATTATTAACAGAAGCAAAGCACTCATTTGTAGTGAAAGTGCCACTAAATCACATCAATGCAAAGCTCCGTAAAAAGCTAAACAACACGGGGGTGGGGTTGGGGGGAGAATATAATCTTAGTCTGTACGTGCCCCTACCTCATTGCTCCCGCCATGACTTTTGGCTTCTCTGGTTCGATGATGGTGTCGGTTATGACGGAGGCTGAGGTGCCACCGGACACGGCAGAGCTGCCAAAGCCACCGAATCCCGGTGCTTTCTTCCCCTGCCTCTCGGCGTCTCTGCGAGCCTGCTGCAGCTCCTTAGCCTTGCGGCGCATCTCCGCCTTCGCCTCACGCTCTTGTGTCTGGACACACAGACAACAACAACAACCGTTACTTTCCCAAAGAGCAAAACAACCCGACCACCAACATACAAGTCGATTCCACGCCAGTTTGTGGTGACGCTGCTGTGTGCAATTGGCTGCTGCTTTTCGCCCACAAATAATCAGTCAATTCACTTCACAGTGGGTTGTGAAGCGCTTTGAGACGTCTCGAAGATGTGATCAGGCGCTGTATCAAATGCAAGGATTATTATTATTATTATTATTATTAACAACAAATGACATTCATACAGCGCCTTTCACGTCAGGAGGACATCCCAAGATGCTGGAGAGTCAAGATTTGGGGCCCGAGCTAGGGGTTGTGAGCAATGGAGGGCAGGGGTAGGTGGGCGGCCAAAGGCGCAGTTGAAGAGGAGAGCGCGGACAGGTTGGTATGTAGGTCACAGAGGGAGGGAGGAGCAAGTCCAAGGAGGGCTTTGAAAGTAAAAAACATTGGTAGCCACACAACTGGAGCGAGAGCACACTAGTGGGGTGAAAGAGCGACAAGGCAACACAACAACCATCATGATGCACAGCGTATTTGTTTATCCTGAGAGCCATTCAACACCAACTGCACTGAAATGTTTAGTGCAGAAATGACAGCACTGGAGCTATTCCACTCTCGTTTCCTCTCTTCAAATACTTATTCATTCAAAAAATGCCTAAATTTCACTACACATTTACTTGTATGTTCAGTTTACTTCCCCCAAAAATTAGAATTTCCATTCATGGACAGCGCCTTGGGACATCCTCCCGACGTGAAAGGCGCTATAAAAATGTAAGCACAGTCGAAGGGGAAGGTTTTCAGGCGTGATCTGAAAATGGGGAAAGAGAGGGTCAGGCAGAGGGTTAGAGGAAGAGCATTCCAGAGTTTCGAGGTGTAGTTTCCAGAGTCTTGAAGGGATTATTAACCACAGAAAGTGATCCGCTAATTGACTAACTGGGTTTCTACTTACAGCTAGGTAAACAAGAGGCATGTGCGTGGAGTAAGGAAACTTGCCCAAAGTTTCACCCTGCCCAGCCGGGAATCGAACCCGGGTCCTCTCGCTTGCTATGCGATATCTCTGACCACTAAGTTGCAGGGCTCTCACCTCCCGGACGGCACGGAACACCTTCTCCTCGTGGGAATCCATTTCGGTGAAGGTTCGGATCTGAGCGAGGTTGACATTCTCACGATAACCCAGAGCCACAATCTCGTCAAAGGCAAAGATCAAATCAAAGCAGTGCTCCGATATCTCGCTCTCCTCCAACACCCTGCAGTACTCCGGGATCTGGCAAACAAAGGCAACCGGAAAACTGTGTGAGACACGGGAATGACGGTAGAGGGCAAATAACAGGAGATAATAGGAGAATAATATTTCTGGCCTTTAATATAGCACCTTATCACGTTATTGAGATGCCTCAAAGTGCTTAATAGTAAAATGTTAAGCGCTTATTGTAAAATGGAGTGACTGTGCATTTTGTGGGCGAAATGCAGCAGCTAATTGTGCACAGTGGTGTCCCAAAAATAATCATGGATTGAGTATTTGTGGGACACTAACAATTGCCATTTAAAAGACTGTTTCGTACATATGGATTCCCCCTCCCCCACACCCACCCTCAACATGTGGCGTCTAGCTTCAGCTGAGTATATTGATCGTATAAATTGATGAGGTAAAGGCTTCCGCCCCCTTGGGGCGCCAAGCACTTGCCTGAAATTGGCAGCACAGAGCTACATAAGCCTGCCAGTCACTCATCTAATAATAATCAATCCTTCCATTTGATGTAGTGCCTTATTATGTCTTCGACACATCCGAAAGTGCTTCACAGAATTTCCACTACTAAAGTGGATTGACTTTATATTTTGTGGGCGAAAAGCGACAGCCAATTGCACACAGCAGTGTTCCACAAACAGTTGAGTGACTGAGTGAGCAAATTATTAGTAAAAAGTGATCTGCCAATCGACTAACAACTGGGTTCCTACTTACTGCTAAGTAAACAGAGGCTTGTGGAGTAAGCCCAACGTTTCGCCAAGCCCAGGAATTGAACCCAGGTTCTCTCACTTGCAAGGCGAGCGCTCTAACCATTACATTACAGGACCCCTCTTACGGAAGGAAGCCAAGGGAACAAGCGTTCCTTACCACCCGGGAGAAGAGACGGAGTGTTTCAAGGTCCTCCAGAATGTTGCTGTTCTTGGTGGTGATCAGCACCATGTAGAGCTTCTCCAGGGGCTGGTACACGTACCGCACGCTCTCTGTCTCTACAAATGTGTGCTGCTTCCCGGTGTTCATCAGCTTGGGAAACGCGGCCAGCAGCCCTTCAATGCGTGTCCTCGTCATTTCCACAAACTGCCTCGAGACTATGGCCTTGCCGGCTTTGGTACAGACTGCTGTCGCTAACAGCACCTGTGGAGAAATAAAAGGAACCGATTACAAGAGAGAAATCGTCTTCTAAAGAGCGAGGGCAGAGTCCCAGAACTTTTTAACATTCAACAAGTGGGAACCATTCACCCACAAAATACACAATCACTCCACCTTACAGTATATCCACATCCCCCGCTCCAACGGCCTTCAGCCTCTCAGCCCCGAGGCTCTGGAACTCCATCCCCCAGTGCCTTTGCCGCTTCCTCCCTTTCCTCCTTCAAGGCCGGTCTCAAGACCTTTCTCTTTGACCGAGCCTTCAGCTCCCCTCTCGACTCTCTACCCCCTCCTCGCTCCCTCCCTTCCCTCCCCTCACCCTGACCATTTCCCCCCATTGCTCCGGTCCTGACCCAACTGTCCAGTGCCTTGGGACGTCCTCCCGACGTGAAAGGCGCTCTATAAATGGAATCTTGTTGTTGTTGTATCCCTTGAAGCACTTTTTTTTAAACTCCACATGTCTCGGTCTACCTAGCAGTAAGTAGGAACCGCGCTTGTTAGTCGATTAGCTGATCGCTTTCCAGGGGCAATAATCCCTCCAAAGATAATAATAATTTGTTCACACAATCTATGACTGCTTGTTGGATATTGCTGTGCAATATTAGCTGCTGCATTGCCTACAAAATAACAGTCACTCCACTTTACAGTATATCCTGTGAGGCGCCTCAACGATGTGATAAGGTGCGATATCAAATGCAAGGATTATTATTATTATACAATGAACCTGAATAACTTTACAAACCAATCATTCTGGAACTGAGACGCATGTGAACAAGGCTTAAGCTCCTTTTCTAAAAGCAGCAAATGTCAAACGCAGGTATAACAAAGGAGGTGTTAAAAACTGGTAACTTGCATTGAGTGTAAAATACAAAGATGAAATGAGGAATCAATCCATGTCCTTCACTTTGGGAAAAACAAAAGCACGTGAAATAAGGCCCATTAAACAGTAGTGTCGAGAACTAGATCAAGACCCTCCTCTTCGACTGCGCCTTCAGTCTCCCTACTAACCCCACCCTCCATGCTCTCCACCCCTCCTGATCCCAGCTCGGATCCAAATCCCTGACTGTCCGGCGCCTTGGGATGTCCTCCCAAGGCGCGGTGTAAATGTAATTTGTTGTTATCACTGGACATCCGTGTGATATGAAAATTGCATTCAAGAGCACCCAAGTAAATTGATTTAGCTTTGCAAAGTCACATGTAAATATACACCACATTCTTAAGATGGATGCAAAGTATGCACTTGATCCCCATTGATTTTTTCACCCAAAGGGTAGTGGAAATCTGGAACTCTCTCCCCCAAAAGGCTGTGGATGCTGATCCATTTACATTTTCAAGACTGAAGTGGATAGATATTTGTTAGGTCAGATATCAAGGGATATGGGGCAAGGAAAGGTAATTGGAGTTGAAGTACAGATCAGCGATGATCTAATAGAATGGCGGAACAGGTTCGAGGGGCTGAACGGCCTACTCCTGGTCCTATGTTCTCGTTCTGCCCAATCCCTGAGGCTCCAGACAAAAGAAGCACCACTCAGCAATGATACACATCTAGAATTTTATTGGGTCAGAGAACAAAGTTCACAGGTCCAGTCAGCCAACAAGTGTTGCTGTAATTTAGCTTAACCACTAAACAAACCACTCCATTACTCCAGCGCATCACATTGCTGTTCCCTGTATCCATGCAACCCAGTTTTAGAAATTCTAAATTCACAGTGAGCTTGTGAGAAAAATCTGTTCGCACAACATAACACCTCTCAATGTTCTGCCTCACTTACTTTCCAAAAAGACTGGGCTCAAAGCTTCAGCTAACATAAGTACCATCAAAATATCCAATCAAGCTTGCAGGTAACATTTTTTGGGGGTCAGCTGGGTGTCTGGACACCTGCAGAAACCCAGCTCCATGCTTAACAGTATCAAAACCAAAGTGAGAATTCCATGAATCCTATCTACTCGGAAATCCCAGAGATAATTGTTAGAATGGAATGTGTACTCTCTCTCTCTCTCTCTCCCTGAAGGGACTTTTCCTACTTACCTAAATCCGGAAAGTATTAGGCACAGGTTGGCAAGAGCCATGGTTTGGGGGAGCCCAGAGTGTACATTGGGGTAACCAGTTAAAACCATATAGCATGCCATTGAGAGCAACATGACGACTGGAATCCGGTAGCAGAGTCAAATAGCGCCTCAGATACAAGTGATGGAACCAGCTCTCACTCCACTAACTTGCTGTTTTGAAGCACACTGAACCGGGGGCACCAAGAGAGCGTGACAGGTGAAGAAGTTCTCTCCTGGATGTGACACCATCGACCTCCACCATCGACTGCTATAGCAACCTTGAGGAGATATCCAACAGCAGTTCAGGACGATTCTCCTTCCAATCTCCTCTCCCCATTTGTGGTAGCAATTCCCTACATAGTGTAATTTAGATAGCTCAAGATTGGGGTGGGGGTATTTAGGCGACACCGATAAACCACTTAAGCTTTGCTATATCTCTGCCCAAAGATACCACTAAATCAGGTGGGGTCAACCTTTTGGCTGCTGAGGGCCGGATGCCCTATTTGAGAAATGCCCGCAGGTCGCAAAAGCAATATTGTTGTATTTCCCTTCCAGAAACATAACATGACAACATTTACGGGTTATGGAGGAAGTGGTTGGGCCAGATGAAATGGAGGGAGAAGGGCCGGATGCAGCCCGCGGGCCGCCACTTGGATCACCCTGCACTGGAGTATCTAGATACCTCCAGCCATTACACAAATCTTGCTACATTCTGCTGTCTGATAGCTGAATCTTTGAGTACATAACTGCACTCCATATGGTCATACGTTCTCCATAAGTTCTGTAACTTCACACATACTCCATTCTTCTCTCTTTCTCCCAATTTCACTACGTTGAATTAACCCGATCTCTGGTAATGATTTACAATCTTCATCCCAGCAGAGGATAGGGACAGAAAGCAGGAGGATTGTGCCATTCCACACCCACTGGGGATAAATTTAGTAGATTTTTTAATTCCCAATTCCCCAAAAGGTGAGGTAAGAATCAAGCTTTCTTTGTTAATGTGATTCCAGGTGCTATTCCTCTGGAGAATAACAATGGGCACATATCATCATGAACTCCTCATACACACTGGTTACAGAGTCTTCCCACAGACACGTGCTCAGACCGAGCTCCGTAAATTCCAGATTTAGTTGGTCATCAGGGGAAAATTGTATCAAGACAACAAAAGACCTAACCAGAAAGTACTGTAATGATAACAGTTTAAGAGAAGCACTTGTAGAGATAGTTACCTGGAAACTGGAGAATGAGGTACTTTTCAGGGAGATGAGATTAATTATACATTGGATTTTGACTCCAGGTCATCTTGAAGAAGATGCTTTACTTACATTGTGTAACTTCTTCTTTTGTGCTCAAATACTCTCTAAATCCAAAGACCAATATGTACAAACATAACAACATGAAAAGGCCATTCAGTCCCTTGAGCTTGTTCCACCATTCTATTAGATCATGGCTGATCTGTACCTCAACTCCATTTACCTATTTTAATACAAAATAATCTATATCAGAGGTACTTTGATGTCTAGGCACTGGGTAAGCACAGGATTGAGTTCAGTTTTAACAAATGCCTGCAATCAGATAGCTTGTCAACTGATACATAACTTAACTGAACTTCATTGAAATTTCTCGATTTCTGGTATTTACTGAGGAATGACTGTGGGTAGGAAACTGGCTGTGGGTCAAATCTCAAAGCTAACGCTGTAGAATGAGACAGCGGAAACTGACAAAAGCTATTGATCCACAACACAATCAAGCCATGTACATTATAATACAGCATCATGTATCCTTTGCACACAAAAATATTGTCCCCATCCTCGACCAACTGCACTGGCATTCCATCACACAGAAAATACAATTCAAGATCCTGGTTCTCACCTTCAAAGCCCTCCTTGGCTTTGCTCCCCAGTACCTCTGTGACCTCCTAACCCCAAACCAACCTACCCCGCTGCCTCCACTCAGCAGGCTCCAGCCCGCTTCATGTCCCCCGCCTCACCTCTGGCAGGCAGGCTTTAGCCACTCTGCCCCACACTCTGGAACTCCATCCCGCAGTTGCTCTGCGTGGTCCCCTCCCTTGCCTCCTTCAAGACCCCCCTCTTCGACCGTGCCTTTGATCACCTTCCTTTCCCCCTCACCCGCGCTCTCCACATTGCCCAATCCTGACCCCCAGCTCAGGTTGTCCAGAGCCTTGGAACGTCCTCACAACTTGAAAGGTGCCTGCATGTTTTGTGGGCGAAACACGGTAGACAATTGCGCACAGCAGTGTCCCAGAAACAGTCGTGGATTGAGTAACCAAATTATTATTAGCTTTTTTTAAAAAATCGTCAACCAATCCCACTATAACATGAACTAGGGACACTTTCACTTTGGATTTTCAGAAGTAAACATGTAGCCTTCCTTTACAGCTTACTGAATAAATTACGTTAGTCACACACCCACATACTGAAATATACAAATAGGGATTTTTTTTTGCATTTTCTACCTCTCTAGGAGACGCAAATTTAAATAGGTAAAAAGACAGTGAGCCACAGTCTCATGAAACAGGGCCTAGACATTAACACATAATACTTGCATTTGTTATAGTGCCTAATCACATCTTCACGAGGTCTCAAATTCCTTCACAGAACATACGGCAAAGTGAATTGACTATATATATTTTGTGGGAATGTCCCTATAGACTCCTAGGAGTACTCAGACTTATCACAGTATTGTGCCCTTGCTCCTGAAAGAATTAACATACTGGAGTTCAGTCCAACGGGTACCAGTCAAGTATTTTCTAGCATCTCACTCAAGTTCATATGTGAATCTACACAGCGGTATAAAAATAGTATTCCTTGACTTGGGAGTGCAGATTTGCTTTAAATAATGTGATTATATATTTCAATTAGTAGCTTTGGATTACCTGCAACGTTAAGTAAAATATGGTTCCTTTAAATTTCCATTGAACATCAGCATAGGGCAAAGTACATCTCCACTGTTATGCCTTGTAAAACTCGCACAGCAGATAAGCTATTGTAGATAAACTCACCAACCACTGGTGAACCCGTTTTCAAGACAGTACAAAAGATACCAATAAGGACATTTTGAAATACAGTCCCTGATCAGTATGTGAACACACACAGTACACGTATACATACAAGTCCCCCAAATCAAATATTGCTGTGCGCAATTTCGCCAACAAAACACACAGTCAATTCACGTTATAGGATATTCTATGAAGTACTTTGAGACGTCTTTAAGGCAGATAAAAGCGTTATCTCAAATGCAAGGATTATTTTTACATATGCAACAGAATGGTACAAACCTCGCCTTCAAATTACACAGCATTTCCAAGTGACTTGATAAGCACTCCGAGACAGAGCCCCGCGTGAAGACCACGATACAAATGCAAGTTGTTTTTGTTGGTGTTGATAAGATGCGATATCAATTGCAAGGATCATCATTAAACAGGTGAAGCTCAACATCTTAAATTTCCCCAGAGTACTAGGAAAAATTTAAAAAGTTCACCCTTGTACCAAAAAAATTGTAAAGTGACTGAGCCAGTCAGCGGTAACCTGATGAAATTAAATCAAAGTAAGAACTCAAAATTTCACGGGTACTGTATCTGTACACACTTTATACAAGTCCTGCGGTAGTGGTTAGCGCTCTTGTCTCGCAAGCGAGAGGCCCTGGGTTCGATTCCTGGGCAGGGCAAAGTTTTAGGCAAGTTTCTTACTCCACATGCCCCTGTTTACCTAGCAGTAAGTAGGAACCCGGTTGTCAATTGGTACTTTCCAGGGTTAACAATAATAATCCCTCCAAAACCAAAAACAATAATAAATTGGTCATTTTCGATCTACAACTGTTTGTGGGACATTGCTGTGCGCAATTGGCTGCCGCGTTCGCCCACAAATATACAGTCAATTCACTTTACAGTGTGTTCTGTGAAGCGCTTTGGGACGTCCTCCCGACGTGAAAAGCGCTATATCAAATGCAAGAATTATTATTATTATTAACAATCCCTTCAAAAAAATAATAAAATAATAAAAAATAATAATTATTAATTAAGGCTGTGTGCAATTAGCTGCTGCGTTTCGCCCACAAAATATAGTCAATTCACTTTACAGTATATTTTGTGTAGTACTTTAACACTTCTTAACAATATGGATCAGGTGCTATATCAAGGCAAATAATATTATTATTATTATTATCAACAAATCTTAACCACAGAGTATGTTAAAATTGAAATCCTATTGTAAAATCTGTTACTACTGTGCGATTAAGGGCTCCAACAGCCAAGTCTGTTCACAGAGGGACTGCATGGCCTGCTCCTCCGGTACCTACGAGTCCTTCCTGAAAACGGTCTCGGATGAAGTGATGATGTGTCACATCCACATCGAGCAACAAGCAATGCTCGCGGAATGGCTCGGCACTGAGATAATCGCACACCAGCTCGGGAGGCAGAGAGAGAGAGACCGTCAACCGAGAGGTTTCAGCGTTAACAACAGAATCGACAGGAAGACGTTTGGCTTTACGTGTCCCGCAGATGTGTTTGCGAATTCCATTTTCACAAATTGGGAGAGAGCGAGAGAGCGAGAGAGAAATTCTTATTGAACGCAGCTCCTGAGCAGGATGACTTGAGGCGGGCGGGCGGGCGGACGGGGGACGTTGAGATGAAAGACAAAGCTTCAAAGCGCACAATTTGCAAACCGCGCTGAAGGGAATATAAAGGAACAGCATCGATCTCTCCCTCTCCGTCTCCCAACGCGGCTTCAAACCCCACACACCAACCTCCGCCAACCCCCCGACGTCTTAAACCCGAAGCATTGAGAGCCCCGAAACCATTCGAGAGACCCCACCGCGAGGCGTTAAGATGTTTAAAACGAGCCCATTTCTTCCCCCTCTGAAAAACCCAACACCACACACACACACACAAACAAAAAAAAAAGCCAACCAATACCGTTTTAAAATCGATCACAACCGGACGGACATCTCCGCGGAAAGGGCGCGAGTGGCCCCCGAATCCAATCGGAACGGCCCCCCCCCACGGTTTCGCAACGTTAACCGAATAAAACGTCCGCGTTATTTCGGAGCATTTAGAAACTCGGGAGTTGGAGAGAGGGGTTAATTTTTTTTTTTGGGTGGTGGGGGGTTTGGGGTGTGCGAGAGGCCGCGGCCTAGTCCGCTCGGGCTTCAGCCGGCCTCGATTTCTAACCCGCCCCCGGGGCCCGGCGGCCGTGGCTTTTTCTTACCATGATCGAGTCCTGCCGAAGCCTCCGAGCTCCCGGTTCACCTTTACTGTAATGTTATATGTATGTTTCGACCCCCCCCTCGACGTTTCTCGGCCGAGAGCCCCCACCTCGCGTCGCTCGCCTCAGCGCAGCGGCTCCCAGCGCCAGCAATATGGCGGCGGCGGCCACGTCTCCCGCCGGAAGCTCCCGCCTCCCCCCCCCCGGGGGTCAAAGGGCGGCCACAGTGTCCTACACACTGCACATCCTGACCCTAACCCCCAGTGCTGCATCCACACCATCCGTGTACCTGACCCCACACCCCCATATACCCTGACCCCACACCCCCATAAAGCCTGACCCCACACCCCCATATACCCTAAACCCACACCCCCATATACCCTGACCCCACACCCCCATATACCCTGACCCCACACCCCCATAAAGCCTGACCCCACACCCCCATATACCCCGAACCCACACCCCAAACCCCCATATACCCTGAACCTACACTCCAAACCCCCATATACCCTGAACCTCATCCATATACCCTGAACCCCATCCATATACCCTGAACCCACACCCCAAACCCCCATCCGTATACCCTGAAACCACACCCCAAACCCCCATCCGTATACCCTGAACCCACACCCCAAACCCCCATCCGTGTACCCTGAACCCACACCCCAAACCCCCATCCGTATACCCTGTACCCACACCCCAAACCTCCATATACTCTAAACCCCATCCATATACCCTAAACCCATACCCCAACCCCCCATCCATATACCCTAAACCCCATCCACATACCCCAATATTCCATCCACACAATAAACCCCACCAACATACCCTTAACCCACACCCTAAACCCCCATCCATTTACCCTAAACTCCAATATTCCATCCACACTCTAACCCCATCCATATACCTTTAACCCACACTGCCCCAACCATATACCCTGAACCGCATCTATAGACCCTAAAACTCATCTATATATCCTAAACCCACCTTAAACCCAACCATATGCCCCATTCAAACCTCATTCATATACCGTAAATCTACCCACACCCATATACCCCAAATCCAACCTTCCACCCCAATACTCCATCCACAACCAAATCTACACCTTCAAACCCTACGAACTCACCCATATAATACCCTAAACCCACCCCACACCCCATCCATATATCCTATGGTGTGTAAAAAAAAGTCTTAAAAAGTGAGGTGGGGAATGGGGAACATTGGAGGTTTAAATAAAAATGGTTAACAAAAAAGCAAGACTTTTTTTTCACGCCCGGTCCAACAAAACCCGCCCAATTGGGCGCGAACCCGCCCAACCGCTCCGCGTCGGAACCGAACGTGACTGCAACTCCCAGAATCCCCTGGCCTGCTGAGCATGCGCAGTGTGGGCGGCGGAGGGGGAGGGCGGGAGGGAGCCCGGGGCTTCCGGGTGCCCTGGCGGAGTGCTTCCGGTCGGGTGACCTTGCTGCCGCTGTCCTGTTGGCGATGGCCGCCCTGACTGGGCTGCCGGTGCTTTGCCGACGTGGTTTTAAACGTAAGTAACCGCCCCCGCGCGGCTTCTCAAGCACCGGGGGGGAGGGGGGAGGCTGACGGGGGGGTGCGTGGGCAGGAGGGGTGTTGGTGGTGTTTGCTGTCGAGAGGGCAAATTAAGGTCACCCCCTCCCCCCCCACTCTCTCTCTTAATAATAATAATCCTTGCATTTGATATAGTGCTTTTCACGTCGGGAGGACGTCCCAAAGCGCTTCACAGAACACACTGTAAAGTGAATTGACTGTATTTGTGGGCGAACGCGGCAGCCAATTGCGCACAGCAATGTCCCACAAACAGTCGTAGATTGAAAATGACCAATTTATTATTGTTTTTGGTTTTTGGAGGGATTATTATTAGGCTCTGTGTGGAGTAAGGAAACTTGCCCGAGGTTTCGCCCTCTGCCTGGAATTGAACTCAGGTCTCTCACTTGCAAAGCGAGTGCTCTAACCACTGAGCTACAGGACTCTTGGCCTCTGTGGGGGACCAGGCTCTGCCCCTAACACTGGGTCACTCAGGAACAGGAGGAGGCCATTCAGCCCCTCGAGCCTGTCCCGCCATTCTATCAGCTCTCGGCTGATCACCCCCAATTAACTCCCAATTAGCCGCCTTTGCCCCCGTAGCTCTTGACGCCCGACAACAACAACAACAAGATGTTTGTGGAGTCCTGTAGCTCAGTGGTTAGAGCACTCGCTTTGCAAGTGAGAGACCTGAGTTCAATTTAAAGTCCCTAAGCGTTGGACTGGAGCGTCAGCTTAGCCGTTTCTCCAACAATATACACAGTCAGTTCACCGTGCAGTATGTTCAGGGAAGCGGTTTGAGATCTCACAGACGTGATAAGGCGCTATATCAAATGCCAGGCTTATTATTATTAACAATAATGCTCATTGCCTCTGCTTAAATCTTTTATTCCTTTCCCCTTCTCTACTAAAGAGGCTGAGTCATCCTGGTTAACCATTACAAAGAAGTTGCTTTTTTATAGCATGTGCTATTTTATAAATGTCACAAGTAATTGCTGATGAATCCATTCACTACACTCGTGTATTGTGTGTCAGCATATCACAAACAGCCATGGACCCATTATTCACACCCTCTTGACATGAAAGACGCTATATAAGTACAATGCAGATTGTAATCATTGTAATAAAGTATACGTATTGATCTCAAGGACATCAGACTATGCTTCTTTTAAGTCTTGTTTTGTCTTGTGTCTCCATTCAGGGAGACTTTAGTCCCCCAGTGCCTTCGCCGCTTCCTCCCTTTCCTCCTTCAAGGCCGGTCTCCAGACCTTTCTCTTTGACCGAGCCTTCAGCTCCCCTCTCAACTCTCTAACCCCCTCGCCCCTCCCTTCCCTCCCCTCACCCTGACCATTTCCCCCCTCCTCGCTCCCTCCCTTCCCTCCCTTCATCCTGACCATTTCCCCCCCAATGCTCGGGTCCTGACCCAACTGTCCAGCGCCTTGGGACGTCCTCCCGACGTGAAAGGCGCTCTATAAATGGAATCTTGTTGTTGTTTAGATGAGTGAATTATATTGCTATTAAAATACATTAAGTTGTTATATGGAATTGAAGCTTTTTTCCCTCCCTCCTTTATAGCATTGCTCAATACATCGTTCCTGGTTAGACCTCTTCTCGCTTCTAGAAGGGCATCGGAGCCCCCGCTGGCCCTGGCCTCACAGTTTCATGTGTCTCACCAACATTCAGGTAAGTAAGTGTATAACCTTGCCCTCTGCTAGACAGAAACAGATTGAGGAATAGAACACGAGTTGGATGGCATTCGAGGGGAAAGGACTTGTTGCATCTGTGCCAGGCCTCTCTGACAGGATCGCGGCACTCTGTTTGCCGATGATGTTGTGCTGCTGGCGGATTCACCTGGGGAGCTTCTGCACTGTGCCAACTATCTTAAACACTAGGTCAACTGGTGGGACATGATTCTGCATGGCCCGAGCGAAGACATCAAGGGAATTGATTGGAAGATACGAAGGGCTTCAGTCCCAATTGTTGATTCTAAGCGGTACCTCGGGGTCGTGATGGACTCCACTACTGTGAAGCGCTCTGGGACGGTACGCCGCGTGAAGGGCGCTATATAAATGCAAGTTGTTCTTGTTGACACCAACTTCTGCCTGTGCACTGATCTGATGGACCGCGCAGAGAAGGGGCAAAGGACACTCTGGTGGTGCTCATCACTCTTCAAGGAAAGCAAGGTCCCAATGCAAGTCAAGAAATAGAATTGAGGATCACTGGATGGTGATCAGAAAAGGGCACAGCAAGCTTTGTTCAACCCAGGAATCCAGACATAAATCAGTTTGTGACCATTTAAAAAAAAAGCTGGCCAATTATCTGTGTGGTTTGTTCATATTGTTTATCATTGAACTGACTTTGACAGCCATATTGGATTTCCAAATAATAATAATAATATGAATGATCCTTACATTTGATATAGCGCCTTATCACGAATATGTGTGCCACTGGGACCTTCAACTCTTGGTGACTCATTTCCATACCTGTGGTGCGAGTGAAACCTATTTAATGACATCACGGTTAGATAAATGAACGGGGCAGAAATTATTTCACTAAAATCTGTACCCACGATGGGTTTTCAATAATACTTCCCCAGAATTTTTCTAAAAGGCGAACAGATAGATTCTTTATAACTGAGAGTTTCAGGCACCGATAAAATATAAGAGACATCCTTTGATATCTCCTCCTCCTGGAAAGGAGCTATATCAAATGCAGGTGTTATTATTATAGATTGGCGTCCTGTAGCTCGGTGGTTAGAGCACTCGCCTCACAAGCGAGAGGACTTGGATTTGATTCCCCGCAGGGCAAAATGTTGGGCAAGTTTCCTTACTCTACATGCGTACTAGTGGTAAGCAGGAACCCGATTGTTAGTCAATTGGCAGATTGCTTTTCGGGGGTAATAATCCCTTTGCAAATGTAATATTATTATATTTCTCTTGCCTTTTCTTCTCGCCCAGCTGGCTCTCGTGCTGCTTCCCTACACTGGACCAGCGAGCGAGTGGTCAGCATAGCATTACTGGGTCTCCTACCAGCAGCCTACTTCTGTCCAGGAGCAATCGTGGACTATTCTCTCGCTGCTTCTCTCACTCTCCACAGTCACTGGTAAGCTCTACCATTTGTTCTGCCTGCTTTTGTGCTATCGATTAGCGTTTTGTTGGAGAATTTACTAAAACAACTTTCATTTATATAGCTCCCCTTATGCAGGGTAGGGTCACAGAGCGCTTGACAGTGGCAGATTTAGGAAACTGTTATTTCTTCTTTTACCCCGTTGATCCCGCGCTGTTTAACCGTTTACACACTCGAATTAAGGTTTCCTCACAACCGTATCAAGTACAGGCGAATCGCTCCCTAATACGTCTGAAACGTCACTCATTCAGTCTGGCTGAGGCCAGCATGTGTGCTCAGTGTGTGACCAGCAGAGAGCGCACAGTGAGTGTGAAAGATAAATGACTTTCTCAGACGAAACACCGACTTTCTCTAATCTAGACTTTTCCGGATAATTATTCAACCCCCTGCGAACCTACCACATCCTGTTGTGTTTCCTTTGAAGTTTTGCATATGCATTGCTTTGACCAGTATGAGAACCTGAGTGTTCCTGTATACTATCTCAGTTCATGATAACATTTCCTGGCATTTTCAAGTTCTAAACCACAAAAATCTGGTGCCTTTTTATATTTTAATCATCGGTTCTTCCCTTCCACCCCCCCACCACCCCATCACCGCGCGCCCACTCATACCCTAGGAAGTTTTTGGTTTAGTGTTCAGGTGGACTTTAAAGATCCCATGGCGCTATTTGAAAAGAGAAGAGGGTTTCTCTCTCCCAGTGTCCTGGCCAACAATCCCCCAAGTAAAATGGGTCATTCACAACGTGGCTGTTTGTGGGACAATTGTGCTGCCGCATTTGCCTACAAAATACACAGTCACTGCACTTCACAGTGTATCCTGAGAAGCGTTTTGAGACGTTCTTCTGGCATGATAAGGTGCTATATCAAATACAAGGCTTATTATTGTTATTATTATATCCACCTCAGTCTTGAAAATTTGAACGGATAGTTGCCTGGAGGTAATCTGAATCCCACTCTGGTTTTCTCACAGGGGTTTTGGACAAATCTGCACCGATTATGTGCACGGAGACACACAGCTGAAACTGGCCAAAGCGGGCATCAGCATCCTCTCCACAGTGACCTTCGCTGGCCTGTGCTACTTCAATTACCACGACGTGGGTATCTGCAAGGCTGTGGCCATGCTCTGGAGCCTCTGATTACTCGTGCCGTCCTCTCGACCATCCCGGGCGGGCTGCTCGCTTTCATTCTCCATTTTATTCCTGAATTTCCGAAACAGTGTGTGCGGGAGCAATTTTTTTGGGACAAAGAGTTGATGGTGAATCTGCTGCAATTTCAGAATGTATTTTTCAAACCCACGCATTGCACACTGAGCGCAGATGTTGCCTTATGCAGTGCTGTTGCCTTTTCAAAATAAATTGCTCTCACTTCTTTCTGCCTTCCCCTTCTCCCCACTGACCGTGCATAAATTCCTGTGGTGATCTGATCCACGCAAATTAAGGGGTTTGACCGTCCACAAATAATTTTATTTGTTGTCCATTTCCCACCAGTTTATCTCTCTCTTTCCAATTCCAACTCCTTTTCCTCCATGTCCCCCTCATATGTTTGCTGTTCAAGCTAATCAACTCGACTTTTTTGACGTTAAACACCTCAGCGTCTATGCAATTCTGTCATCATTTGATGACACCCATTCAGTGGGGAGTATTGCCCACCATCTGCTGCTGACCGCACAGTAGACTCCTTCCCATTTAACAGCGAGAGAAACTAAACCCCATCTCACAAAAACGCCAGTCTCATTGCCGTTCTCATTAAGTTTACTGTACGCTGCCAACTGGAGTTGCGTTGTGAGTAAAATATCTGAACCCTTTGGCTTACGTAAGTATAACCTAGGCAGCTATGTCTTCAAGCTTGTCATCTGTGTTTTAACAGCTATCCATCTCTATATATGTACAATTTTGTTTGTAGATTTGACCTGATTTAAGTGTGTTGCGTGGCTAGTCAACTCGCACTTTCAATGAGCTTCAGAAAGGATACACTTTGAATTTAGATCTCAGTTGGATGAAAGTTCGGTTTCTTATCTTGCGTTTTCTACTTGTGATCACAATGGAAAATAATGTGAAGCAGAACTGGCGAAGGTCAACCAATGATCTATCTACAAGATCCTGTGGCATTAAGAGAAAAGTTTCTTCTAGTATCTTAGCCACTAGCCCTGCAGATAAATTGGTCATTCACTCTGTGGATGTGCATGTTTGCTCACAACATACAGTCACTACAGTTGACAGCAGTTCCCTTTGCGATGTTTCGCATTGTAAGTCAGGTGTATCAAGCTCAAAGGGTATTAAATGTGCCTTGGGAGGCTGGGATGCAGCTGAACATCTAGCTTTTGCTACGTATTAACAGTCGACTTATACGGGATTAATGGTCAATTGAGTGTCAACAAAGGGGGAAGAGATGGGCTGAAACATTCTTGAAGAGTATTCTCAGTATCTTGAACTAATAAGTGTCGTAACCATTCTGTTTGAAAGATTTCAGGAAATGCCATTGCTGTGTGAATGTCTTTGCCAGCATTGCAACCAACTCGATGGCTAGTTTTCAAAGAGACAAATAAAGATGGGGTTTAAGAAACAATCTGGGCAAACTGTGTGCATTCTTTGTAAATAGTTTGTAAACTACAGTTTGGTTCAATAACTACATTAACTTTAACAATGTTATGATAGGCGGAAGCACGCAGGAATAAACGGGTGTGGTCCGAAGAAGCCATGTCATCTTTATTTACGAAAGGTTTGACATCAGTGTGGTTTCATTCGCAAAACCTAAGCTTGGATGGGGTATGTTCCTTGGAGCAAGTTCCAGTTAAAGGTTTCAATAGATGTAGTCTCTCTGCTTCACCCTTCCCACAAAAGATGGTGAGTTTAGAAAGATGGTGTTTCTTATACATTAGTCCTGTAGCTCAGTGTAGCTCAGAGCCCTCGCCTCCCAAGCGAGAGGGAAGATTCCCAGGCAGGGCGAAACCTTAGGCAAGATTCCTTACTCCACACGCCTCTGTTTACCTAGCAGTAAATAGGAACCGAGTTGTTAGTCGATTGGCGGATCACTTTTCTGGGCATAATAATTGCTTCAAAAATAAAATAATTTGGTTACTGAATCCACTGAACCCACGACTGGGAAACTATTGTGGACAAAATGCACAGTCTACACTTTACAGAATATTCTGTGAAGGCCTTTGAGACATCTCAAATACAAGTATTATTAATAACTCTGGATATTTAAAGGGTTTGACGGTCTAGTAGCTTTTATTCATCAAAGTTCCCCAGTGACGTGTGAATATAGAAGACGGGCAAGGAGTATAAATAAAAAGCTGGGCGGAAAAGCAAATGTCAAACCTTTCTGCATGGTTTTAATCATCTTATGTTTAACTAGGTTCTTTTATTTGGAGGGGGTGTGGTGCATGTTGTTAGAGAACCTATTTTAAAACTCTTAACATTGACCTAAAATGTGCAAATTAGTAAACTTGCCCATTAACTTTCAGTACACTTAGCAACTTGCCTGTTGCCTGTGAAGGGCTTTGAGAGACAACACAACAAATTACATTTAGATAGCACCTTTCACATCGGGAGGACGTACCAAGACACTGAGACTTTCACCTTATAGAGTTTGTGCCCATGTAACCTGCTCAGAAGAAGTGAAAATAACAAACAGCTGAACAAAGTCCGTAGGAACAGAAGGAGGCCATTCAATTCCTCATTCCTGTTCCGCCATTCTATTAGATCATGGGTGATCTGTACCTCAACTCCTATTACCCGTCTTTGCCCCATATCCCTTGATACCCTGACATAACACAAATACTGAACTACTACATTATTATTCTGCAATAAACTATTAAATGACTGTGTAATCAGATGGCAACAGAATGTCTGGTGGGAAAATGTAGTGAAGTCAAAATATTGCTCCTTCCCACAACCACCCCACCCACCCCCACCCCGCACAACACAGACACACAACCTGTTAAGAAACCGATAATTTTATTTTTTTTAAATATCGCTCATCCATGAAGTACAGCGGGGAAAAGCTTTACGAAACAAAATGTAAAAACTTGTGCAAAACAGCAAAGCAAAAGCTCAGGATCATTCTTCTTAAATTACTCTGATTTTTATCAGGTAGCCACTCAGCTACCCAGTAATAATTATCCTTGCATTTGATACAGCGACTTATCACGTATTTGAGACGTCTCACAGTGCTTTGCAGAATATACTGTAGAGTGAATTGACTGTATATTTTGTGGGCGAAACACAGCAGCCAGTTGTGCACAGCAGCGTCCCACAAAGGGACGTGGATTGAATGACCAAATTATTATTATTTTGTATTTATTTTGAAGGGATTATTAGCCCCGGAAAAGCGATCCGCCAATCGACTTAACAACCGGGTCCCTACTCATTGCTCTCGGTAAGCAGAGGCGCGCGGGTAGCCAACGGGAGAATGCAGATTGGCAGAGGAGAAAGAAGGTTACATCGTTGGGCAGTTGCAATGCAGAGGTGCGATGGGAGTAATCAGGCAAGTGATCTAATGCCCATTCCAACAAGTAGTCGTGGCCCAGGCCTCAGCGAGGTGTTGGGGAACAGAACAAAGCCATTTCATTCGGCTGTTTCTGAATAGTCTTCAGGTCAAGCTTGCAAATGCCGTTGTTGAAACTGGTGCAGATGTACCAGTTACGGTACTGTGCTGACTCAAAATGGTAGTAATGGCCGTTGTATAACTTGAGATAAAATATGCAGTCGCTTTGGTGGTTTTCTATGTCAGTAGGCGCTTCTCCTTCCTACACCACAAGACACACAAATCATAATAATTATTATAATAATAATCCTTGCATTTGATTTAGCGCCCTATCACGCCATTGAGACGTCTCAAAGTGATTCACAGGGTATTTTGTGGAGTGTGTGACCAAACGTATTTTATTTTTTATTGGAGTCCTGTAGCTCAGTGGTTAGAGTGCTCGCCTTGCAGGCGAGACCTTCAATTCCAGGCAGGTCAGGGCGAAACCTTGGGCAAGTTTCCTTACTCCACACAGAGCCTAATAATAATCCCTCCAAAAGAAAACAATAATAAATTGGTCATTTTCAGTCCACGACTGTTTGTGGGACACTGCTGTGGGACACTCCCTCCAGTTCATCTGGCCCACCCACTCGCTCCATAACCCCTAAATGTTATGTTATGTTTCTGGAAGGGGGACTACAAAAATATTGCTTATGCAGCCCACAGACGTTTCTCAAAAAGAGCAGCCGGCCCTCAGCAGCCAATAGGTTGGACCCCCACTGACTTACGATGAAGCGAAGGTTGTGTCCTTCCTCACAGCGCAGGTAATATTGTCGGCCGCCCTGTTCCAGTAAGAACACCACGGACATGCTGGGTGACACGGGCACCGCCTTGTACATGAGGAAGCTCAGTTTTACGTCTCCTGCAAAATAAATAAATCATTTCAGGTTTAGATCCCCCCCAAAAATACGAAACCTTAGGCAAGTTTCCTTACTCCACACGCCTGTCTACCCAGCAGTAACTAGGAACCTGCTTGTTAGTCGATTGGCAGATCGCTTTCCTGGTGGTAATAGTTAATCCCACCCCAAAAAATTATAATTTGCTCATAATCCACAACTGTTTGTGGGACGCTGCTGTGCGCAATTGGCTGCCACGTTTTGCCCACAAAATATAGCCAATTCACTCTACAGTATATTCTGTGAAGTGCTTTGACATGTCTCAAAGACGCGATATGTCGCTATATGAGACACAAAGATTATTATTATTATTGATACAAAGCATCCCATCTCGACCTCTTGTCGCGGTGGCTATGCAGGAAAAATCCCCTCAGAAACTTCCTCAGGAGGAGTGATTAGGTAACCTGGGTATGTTCACTCCACCTCACCCCCTCGTTTGCCTCCTTCACGGAATGTCTCAAGACCCTCCTCTTTGACCGTGCCATCTGTCCTCCTACCCCTACCATCCCCGCCCTCCATCCCTCCTGATCCCAACCACCAGCTAGGGATGCGGACCCTGACTGTCCAGCGCCTTGGGACATCCTCCTGACATGAAAGGCACCGCGTAAATGTCTGTTGTTGTTGTTCACTTGCCTCCTGTCAAATGTCCCAAGTTGTTCACGGTACCGTCTACCTGATCGTCGAGGGTGATGACAAGGGAACACGACTGATTGTTCTTCGGGGTCAAAAGCTTGGACTTGTTGCTGTATTTGCTCCACTTGTCAGATTCCAAGTCTTCATAAACAGCGTTTGAGCGAGGAGGGGAGTGGGGGGGAGTGGGGGAGGGAGGTAGAAGAGCGAGAGGAGAGAGGGGGGTAGTCATTCAAAAGTTAGGTGCTCTTATTCAGATTCAAAACCATTTTAATCTATTCCCACGCACCAAATCACAATTTTAACTTTTAATTTCATTTTAATTACAATTTTCATTTCACTGCGCACATTTTTCTTAATGTACGTGTCAGGAATCCTGACGTGTGTACGTACCTTTGTCACCTGTTCCGTCCGGGAGGTTGGGGGCACATGGAAAGAGAAATAAATGAATAATAATAATAATACTTGCATTTGATACAGCGCTCTATCATGTCTTCCAGACGTTTCAAAGCGCTTCACAGTATATACTGTGACATGAATCGACTGTACATTTTGTGGGCGAAACGCGGCAGCCAATTGCGCACAGCAGCGTCCGCACAAACAGTCGTGGATTGAGTGACCCCATTATTATTATTTTTTGAAGGAATTATTACCCGTGGAGTAAGGAAACTTGCCAAAGGTTTCGCCCTGCCTGGCCGCGAATTGAACCGGGGTCTCTCGCTTGTGAGACGAGCGCTCTAACCACTACTCTACGGGGCTCCACAACCCAATGAATGTATGATTAGGAAGACACAGTGATTAGTCGTGTGGGTTAACCCTGCAAGGTCCTCTTGTTGTGCGGATTGCGGTCAAGCTTACCTTCCAAGATCAATATCCCCTCATCAGGAACAAAATGGCCCAGGTTCAGATTGATCATTTCCTCTGCTTCACACATTGCTGCTCTCTGTGTAAGAAAAAAGTGATAAGAGACAAACACATTATTTTCTTTCTTCCTCCTTTCATTTTCTGCCTCGCCTTGAGGTGACCTTGTTAGCTCAGACCACTTTTATCTCAATGTTTACCTGCATTGTTAGAGGTGCCATCCTTCAGATGAGGCATAAAACCCAGTGCATGTTTGCTAGTTCAGGTGTTAACTACAAAACACAGTCACTGCACTTTACTGAAAACCCTATGAAGCGCTTTGAGGGCGTCCTCCTGACAAAGAAGGTGCTGTATCAAATGTAAGGATTATTATTGTTATTATATTATGTCGAATGAGGAAACTTGCCTTAGGGTTCCCGGGCGGGGCAAAACCTTAGGCAAGTCTCCTTACTCCACACGCCTCTGTTTAACTAACAGCAAGTTGGTACTCAGTTGTTAATCAATTGGGGAATTGCTTTACAAGATAAAAATCCCCAAAACATTTTTAAAATATAAGTCAGTCAATCCATGACTAATGGTGGGAACTGCTCTGTGCAATTGCCTGCTGCGTTTCGCCCCCAAAATACAGTCAAATCACTTTATAGTATTCTCCGTGTGGGACTTTGCAAAGGTGTGATAAGGCGCTGCATCAAATGCCGGATTACTATAGTTATTAAAACATGTTTTGAGGTGGTGAAGTGCTATAACAATGTAAGTTCTCAGCCACCATTGGCTTGCATTGCTCCCTCCTTCCTGTGTGAACGGCCACACGACTTACCACCATTCAGAGCGAGCACTTACCTGATTGAAGAACATAAACAGACACACCAGGGATTGTGCAGAAGATTCTTGTGCACAGGAACTGGTTGTTGCCCCAGTTAGCTTTATAAAAAACCACACCCCATATACGGGAATGTCCGACACCAAGAGACGTCAAAAAAGAAACCCTTAAAATAGTTTCTTTCTCCTCTCTGCTTCTCCTTTCCAAGTTGGTGGTGTCAGTGCATAGCACACACCCTCTCCAATTCCCCGCCTAGACATCTCCCGGCTTCCAATTTACAACCCTCTGGTTGTCTTATCACCATTAGTGCCTTACAATCTCTCTTGACTCATCTCTTCCGGTTTCCTAGCAAATGATCCACCCCCTCGCGCCAGATAAAATTGTTCAATCAATCCACGACTGTTTGTGGGGTGCAGCTGTGTGCAACTGGCTGTATATTCTGTGAAGCGCTTTGAGACGTCTCGAAGACGTGAGAAGGCGCTGTATCTCATGCAGGGATTGTTATTATTATGCGTTATTAATTAATATTAATGAGTGACCGCACCTAACAAGGTGACCCCTCTCAACAAACACACGCCAGCTCAAAGCGGGCACTTCACGGGTTTGCTATTCTCCCCCTCCCCCGCAGAGTGGAGGGTTGTAAATCGGAAATAGGGGGAGCAGAGAATGACCAAGGGATTCCATTCAGATTTCTCAGTCAGTTTCCTACACCCACTCTTTCCAACTCATGTTAAAGATTCTCGCAAATTATATTAAAGGGAATAATTTTTCCAGGGCAATGAGGTGTAGAACCCAAATTAACAAGTGAGTTCCAAATCTCGTTAAAGCATCTTCAGAGAGCTGCTGAGCCACACACACCCCCACCCACCCTCGCTCTCTCTCTATGTGGTTAGTATGGACTTCCTCAGACACAGATATGGTAGATTATGAGCCCTTGTCAAGTCTTGACATATATTTCACTCACATAATATACATCCAGGCAGAGGGCGAAACCTTGGGCAAGTTTCCTTACTCCACACAGAGCCTAATAATAATCCCTCCAAAACATACAATAATAAATTGGTCATTTTCAATCTACGACTGTTTGTGGGACATTGCTGTGCGCAATTGACTGCCGCGTTCGCCCACAAATATACAGTCAATTCACTTTACAGTGTGTTCTGTGAAGCGCTTTGGGACGTCCTCCCGACGTGAAAAGCGCTATATCAAATGCGAGGATTATTATTATTATTACATTAAATGCAAGAATTATTATTATTATTATTTGTGGTAATAATTAAAGGAAAAGGTGATCAAATGTTTCCGCAATTGAGCCACTTGGATGGAAAAAAAAAGTTGCTTGAAAACCCACGACAAAAATAACAATACAAAGGTTTAAAAACCACAACAAAAAGCCCGGAGACTTACATCTCAGAATGGAAATAAAGATAGTCGCATACTCGTAATCACTGCTAACTCGATTAAAATTCCCCAGCTCTCCATTCTGGCTCAGAAGTTTGTGGGGTCAAGCCCCTCCCAACACACACACACGTACATCAACATCAACTTGTGCCCCTCATGCGTGGTAGTGTCTCAGAGAGCTTGATAGTGGTGGAGCACGAACTGAGCTAGGGTGGGGTGGGGGGTGGCGGGGTGGGGAGAGGGGAGGTGACCGTAGACACGATCGGGGAGGAAGGTCTTCAGGCAGGACCTGAACAACAGCAAAATGACATTTACGTCGGGAGGACGTCCCAAAGCGCTGAACAGTCAGGTGTCGGGGCCCGAGCATGGGGGAGTGGGGGGGTGGTGTAGGGGTTGAGGGAAGGCAGAGAGGTGGGAGGGAGACCAAAGGCACGGTCGAAGAGAAAGGTCTTGAGACCGACCTTGAAGGAGGCGAGGGAGGAAGCGAGGCGAAGGGACCGTGGGATGGGATTCTGTGGGGGCAGAGTAGGGAGATCCCGTAAAGGAAGTGTCAAGGCAGAGGGATAGAGGTTCAGGGGAACTTTGAGCTCACAGTCCATGCCAAGGCTCCAGAGCAGTGCTGGTGGCGAGAGCAAGCACTGCATTGTCAGAGACGCTGTCTTTCAGGTGGGACGTTAAACCGAGCTCCCAGTCTGTGCCCTGTTCAAACGGGTGTTAAAGATCCAGAGACACAGTCCGAAAAGAGAAGGAGATTTCCCCTCTCCCGGGCTGACATCCTCCCTCCCCCAAACCCCCAACTGACAACACTCACTGTAACTACACCCCCAGTTAACCCGTCCCATCCGAACGCAAGTCAACTCAATAGACTCGCTCATCTCGCTCTCGTGTGTGGGACGTTGTTGGCAGAGAGACAAAAATATTCATTGAATTCTAATCAGTTTTATTGTTTTGTAAAGTGATCGGAGAAGGTGATGTTGATGTGCTGCGGAAGGCGCTGTATGAAGCCAAGTTGTTCCCACAAATTTCGTTGCTTTAACCAGAGGAATCCAGAGAAAATCCCATAGCCATCCCAAACCAACTCGGCCATGGACCAGCAATCTGGGGATCGAACCCCTCCCCTCCTGTGGACGTCCCATCGCCGTACCGATATACGGAATCCTGTAGCTCAGTGTTTAGAGCGCTCGCCTCCCAAGTGAGAGGACCCGGGTTCGATTCCCGGGCAGAGCAAAATGTTTCCTTACTCCACATGCCTCTGTTTACCGAGCAGTGAGTAGGAACCCGGTTGTTGGTCGATTGGCGGATTGCTTTCCGGGGGTAATAATTCCTTCAAAAATAAAGTAAAATTAATAATAATAATTTGGTCACTCAATCCACGACTGTTTGTGAGATGCTGCTGTGCGCAATTGGCTGCCGCGTTTTGCCCACAAAATATACAGACAATTCAGTATATTCTGTGAAGCGGTTTGAGACGTTGTGAAGACGTGGTAAGTCGCTGTATCAAACGCAAAGGATTATTATTATGATTATTATATCACAATCGCGGCCAGACAATTGTTGGGTGACGAGGGTTTGGGTGGAGGTTTGGAGAACAGTCATTTCTTCACTTGGAGATGTTCAAAAACATGACGGTTTCATGTGTGTCCAACGACACATGTTTGAGTGCGAGCCTGTGGAGCTCTCCATCCTTTTCAGTGCACAGGAACCAGCCCGGCCTCAGCACCGACTCGTAACGCATGTACTTGCTCCCGACTGTCCTCCGGTAAAACACCACGTGCTTCTGACTGCCGTCTATCCTCTGGGGAACGCTGGCTTCCTGCAGGGAATGTCACAGGAATCGTCAGCCTCTGTCCATCCCACATTCACCTCCATTCACCCCCAAATTCCTGACTATCCAGTGGGTTGTAGGGGATGCAGAGGCAAGCTGTCGACAAACAGTGTAGAGGGAGCTTTGCTGTGTCTCTAACCCTGACCTGGGAGTGTGGATGAACAGTACAGAGGGAGCTTTGCTATGTCTTTAACCTATGCTCAAATTTCCAACCTTCGGAGCAGAGTGAGGCTCTTTCTGTCTCTGTCTTGCTCTCTCTCACCCTCTCTGTCTCGCTCTTTCTGTCTCTCCGTCTCTGTCTTGCTCTCTCTGTCTCGCTCTCTCTCTCTCTCTTTGTCTCTCTCTCTCGCTCTCTCTGCCAGATCTGGGGAAAGAGTGGCTTCACTGACCTTGAACTCAATGATGTTCGACTTGCTGCACGACACCATGTAGGTTTTCGAGTCAACATCGACCACGAAGCTGACCGGAAAATCGGCGTAAGTGACTCCACAGTTCTGGCTGCACTCTGCTTCCTTGTAGGACACCAGCCGGAATGTTGCCTCACCTGCAACAAACAAACCGCACAACAGATGACCATCTCCCTGGTTGATTTCACCTCTCACATCATCAAGAAGTGAACAGTCAATTCGCCAGTTGGATTATGGAGTCCCGCAGTGTAGTGGTTAGCGGGCTCGCCTCGCAAACGAGAGGACCCGGGTTCGATTGCATTCTTGGTCGGGGCGAAACCTTAGGCAAGTTTGCTTATTGCACTCACACGCCTGTGTTTAACTCGCAGTAAGTTGGAACCTGGTTGTGAGTCAGTTGGCGGAACACTCCGGGGTTAAAAATTCCTTCCGAAAAATGTAATAATTTGATTACTCAGTCCGTGACTGTTTGTGGGATGTTGCTGTGTGCAGTTGGCTGCTGTGTTTCACCCACAAAATACATAGTCACTCCACTTTCTGTGAAGAGCTTTGAGACGACTGAATGATGTGATTAGGATTATTATTATCATTGTCAGCCAGGACACCGGGGGAGTGGGGGGAGAGAGAGAGAGAGAGAGAGAGAGAAACTTCTTCTATCTTCCATTAGTCTTCAGCGACTCTCTGACCAGGGCCAGAAGGCACCTCACTTTAACGCCTCATCCAAAGGATGGGGGCCACCCCACCCCAAGCTGTGCTGGGAGTTCGACCTAGACCGAGGGTGGTGGGTAGCTGCTCAGTGTAGGGCTCCAGCCCATGACCTAACACTTGAGAAGGTGAGGCATTAGATAAAATGAACTGATGGCAAATGATCTCTGAGGCAGATTTGCATTAAAAGGAATTTCACAGCAGACCTGCATTTATTTGCCTCCTGTTTAAGTATCGGAACTCCCCCTCGATTTCGTCCGCCGTCTCTTGCCACACTGTCAGCACCTGGAGCTCGGAGTTCTGGAGAATTAGCGCTTGCTCCTTGTTCTTCTCCACACAATCTGGAACCAGGTCTGGAGCACAGGAATAATAGCTGCGTTAGACACACGGAAACATCTCAATGGACCGCGCAGGAGGAATTATAGCGCTTGGAGACACTACCCCACGTGAGTTTTTTTCTTTTTTTGGCCAGCTGCGTGTCTGACACATCACCGTTGCATCCCACATGGAAATCTCAGAGATAGACTGTTGGAATGGAATGCGCTCTCTCTCTCTCTCTCTCTCTCTCCCTGGAGGGACGCTTCCTGCTTATCTAATTCCAGAGAGCATTAGGCACAGGTTGGCGAGCGCCGAGGCTTGGAGGGACCCCAGAGTGTGCGTTGGGGTAACTGCTGGAGTCTATCCAGCTAATACCACATAGCTTGCCATTGATATCACTGTCTGGCAAGCTTTCCCGCTGCTTGTCCAGCTCGGTCCACCCAACCCATCAATGTTAGCAGGAGCTGAGTGGGGTAATTCCCTGCTCCCAGTGACTGTTGTTGTTGCTGCTGCAGTCAAGTAGTGACTGTGAATTTGTAGACAATTGAGTATGCGGCCAATTTGCCTACAGCAAGATCCATAGCAGATTTTATTGGTCGGGTTGGGGGGGGGGGGGTTGGAGGAGGATTATCAGACAGGAAACCAGAGAGAAACTCTTTTTTTCGATGATGATTTAGCCTTGAAAGGAGATACTTTGGTTGTAGAAATGTACAATGTCTCACCTGAGGTCTCTTGAGCTGTTTGGATCATGTTCAGAAAAAGAAAAAAAACGAAATCAGTGACTGATGCAGAGTCTCGGACCGAAAAGGAAACAAAGTTTTATAATCGTAATAATTCTTGCACTTGATACAGCGCCTTATCATGTCATTGAGGCGTCTCAAAGCGCTTCACAGGATACACTGTAAAGTGAATTGACTGTATTTTGTGGGTGAAACGCAGCAGCCAATTACTCCCAGCAGCGTCGCCCAAACAGTCGTAGATTGAGTGACCAAATCTTATTATTTGTTTTAAGAGATTATTACCCCAGCAAAGCGATCCGCCAATCAACTAACAACTGGGTTCCTACTTACTGCTAAGTAAACTGCTAGGTGTGCAGAGTAAGGAAACTTGCCCAATGTTTCACCCTCCTCTCGTTTGCAATGCGAGTGCTCTAGTCACTACACTACGGGACTCCAAATCAGTATTAATTATTATTATGATGAATGATTGACAAGAGCAACGTTTGATTGACGCAGTGACAGGTTTGATTACCTTCCAGCCACAAGACACCATCATGGAATGCTACGGGTCGCAGTTCCCACACATCCTCTGGCTTTTCACACATTTTCACACATTTGCCTATGAAAGAGAGAATGTCAGAAGCTGCTGTGAATAATAATAATAATCCTTGCATTTGATAAAGCACTTTTCACGTCTTCTCGACGTCTCAAAGCGCTTCACAGAATATACTGTAAAGTGAATCGACTGTATATTTGCGGGCGAAACGCAGCAGCCAATTGCACACAGCAGCGTCCCCACAAACAGTCATTGATTGGAAATGACCAATTTATTATCGTTTTTGTTTCGGAGGGATTATTATTAGGCTCTGTGTGGAGTAAGGAAACTTGCCCAAGGTTTCGCCCTGACCTGCCGGGGATTGAACTCAGGTGTCTCGCTTGCAGGACTCCATATAATTGCCTCTTTACTGATTTTATCATCACTCAGAGAGCAGCATTCGAAAAGGGAAACATCCTGCCCAGAGCCAAGTAGATGTGATAAAATCGGTGTGCATGGTTTCTCTCTCCAGCTCGTGTGTGTGCTGGAGCTCCCCCACTGGAGCTCTCTAGTCTAACTCCACTGTCATAATTAGCCGCCGTGTCTCCCTCTATAAGTTCGGGCTGGCAATGTTGTGCTAATAACGGCTGAATGTCCAGTGGAGTTGCCTCCTTGAGTGTCGGAGTGAAGTGAATGTGAGGCACCTCTAGGAGGGAAATTAGTCCGTGCTGGTGATTAGACACGGGTGGTACACACACGCACACATGGACACACACAAACATATGCACAAGCACACACACACAGGTGAACAGACAGGTGCACACAGAGCTCACTAACAACAACAACAACAACTTGGATTTATATAGCGCCCTCCACGCCGGGCGGCATCTCAGAGCGCTTCACAGTAACGGATCCTGGGACCGAGCCGGGGGGGAGGGGGGGGAGGTGACCAAAGGCGCGGTCCAAAAGAAAGGTCTTCAGAAGGGACCTGAACGTAGGAAGAGAGGGGGAGAGGCGAAGGGAGTGAGGAAGGGAATTCCAGAGCCTCGGGGCACAGCGGCTGAAGGCACGGCCGCCGAGGGTGCCACTGAGGTCTCGGGGGACGAGGAGGAGGCCAGACACGTAGGAACGGAGGAAACGGGTACTGTGCTGAGGAGAGAGGGAGTCAGAGAGGTCGGGGGGTGCAGAGGAGTGCAGGGACTTGAATACAAGGGTGAGGATCTTCAAATCAATCCTCTCTGGGACAGGCAGCCGGTGCAGTCTGACCAGGACTGGGGGGATCGGGGACCGGAGGTTGGTGCGGGTGAGACTGCTGGCGGCACTACAGTCCTTGAAACAGATAATAATAATAATAATGTACAGGTAGTAACCTGAATCTAAGTTCTAAAGAAGAATCTCTCACCTGCGCAAGGACATTCAGCTGGAAGGAGTTTCTGCTGCTCGCTCGCGAACTGTGAAATGGAGTGTCTGGCGGAAACTTTCTCAGATTCCAAAGTCAGATCTCACGGTCTATGATTCATTTCCTTTGCTGGCCCCTCTCGTATCGTTTTCAGAATCTCCGTGCTGTGTGACCGTGTGTAGTGTGCGTGTCTGTAACGATGTGTGGTTTGATGAAAGCAACCACGTGGAGAGGTGTTGAAGACCCTTCAGTGTGAATCAAGCGAGAAAGCTAAACCTTGGGGACCAGTCAACTTCCATTTTCCTTCGATGAGTGTATTGGTTCGACCACATTGCCGCAAGTTCCAAGCGCCATCTGCTGGCACGATACTGAGGTGCCCAACAACAACAACAACAACAATAATAATCCTTGCATTTGATATAGCGCTTTTCACGTCGGGAGGACGTCCCAAAGCGCTTCACAGAACACACTGTAAAGTGAACTGACTGTACATTTGTGGGCGAACGCGGCAGCCAATTGCGTACAGCAATGTCCCACAAACAGTCGTAGATAGAAAATGACCAATTTATTATTGTTTTTGGTTTTGGAGGGATTATTATTAGGCTCTGTGTGGAGTAAGGAAACTTGCCCAAGGTTTCGCCCTCTGCCGGGAATTGAACTCAAGTCTCTCACTTGCAAAGCGAGTGCTCTAACCACTGAGTTACAGGGACTCCAAATAATCCTTGCATTTCATGTAGTGCCTCATCACGTCTTCAAGATGTCTCGAAGCGCTTCACAGAGAATACTGCAAAGTGAATTGACTGCGTATTTTGTGAGTGAAACACGGCAGCCAATTGCAAACAGCACTATCCCCACAAACAGTGTGACAAGATTTTATTTTCCCTTCCCACCATGATCACACATAGACGCGCTCATACACGAGGAATGAACAATTTCTCTGGAGGATTCTTGGCCAGCACACCGGGAGTGAGAATTCCCCCTTCTCCTTTCCGATATGGCGGGAGCGCTGCATGGTATTGTCCTGTCGTATGGGGCAAACCGGGGTCCGGCTTGTGGCTGTCTAGGCGGGCGTTATAAATCCTGCGGGGCTGTTTTCCTAGTGATGGAATGGTTAATATCAACAACTTGCACTTGCATAGCGCCTCCTCGAGCAGGCTCGCGTCCCAAAGCGTCCCAGTGGTTGAACGGAGGGTACGAGGGACATGCAGGAGGCCGGGGCCTGTCGAGCGGAGGTGGAAGACACTGGGCTGGGGAGCAAGCAGGTCGGAGAGGTAGGGAAGTGCCGTCATGATGGGGATTTGGAAACGAGCGCGATGATCTTGAACGGCAACTTGCACTCGTAATGGCGCCCTTCACACGGGGGTCTCGGAGCACTTAGCGTCCACCTGAACAGTTCGACGTCTCACCTGAGGGATGGCTGTGCGTGTTTTGCACGGAGCGGGACTGGTAAAGAGAGAGGCATCGGGCAACACAGAACAGTGCAACCACACGACCATACCCGAAACCCTAACGGTGCATCGGCTTGCAGTGTCCCGCCGCAGCCACAGGAGGGTGCGCTGGGCGACATTCCTGTCAATGTATTGATAAATGAGCTGCCATTTTTATCGCCGCCTTCAATGGACGCACTTCACAGTCCCAGTGGATCCCCACAAGCAGCTGCGAGGTCAACCGCGAGGCCAGGACACCGTCTCTCTTTTGCCAAAAGCCTTTGCAGGGCAGGGCACAGACGGGGAGCTTGGCGATCTACCATCGGTGGCCGGGCTTTCAGCCTCTCCAGCCCCCACACTCTGGAACTCCATCCCACGACAACAACAACAACATGACTGCGTTTATAGAGCGCCTTTCACGTCGGGAGGACGTCCCAAGGCGCTGGACAGTTGGGTCGGGACCCGAGCATTGGGGGGAAATGGTCAGGGTGAGGGGAGGGAAGGGAGGGGGCGAGGAGGGGGTAGAGAGTCGAGAGTGGAGCTGAAGGCTGAAGGTCAAAGAGAAAGGTCTTGAGACCGGCCTTGAAGGAGGAAAGGGAGGAGACGGTTAAGGCACTGGGGATAGAGTTCCAGAGCCTGGGGGCTGAGAGGCTGAAGGTCCGGCCACCGATGGTAGGGCGGTTGGGGCGGGGGATGTGGAGCAGACCGGAGCCAGAGGAACGGAGGGTACGGGCAGGTAAGTAGGGGATAGTAGGTCGGAGAGGTAGGAGGGAGTGAGGCCGTGAATGGCCTTGTAGGTGAGGATGAGGATCTTGAATTCGATCCTCTGGGGGATGGGGAGCCAGTGGAGGCGAGCGAGGGTGAGGGCGAGGGCGAGGGTGAGGGCGAGGGTGAGGGTGGGAGTGATGTGGTTGCGGTGTCTGGTGCGGGACAGTACATGAGCTGCAGAGTTCTGAATGACCTGCAGTGTGGAGGGAGGGCCGGGAAGGCCGACGAGGAGAGAGTTCCCATAGTCCAGCCTTGAGGTGATAAAGGTGTGGACCAGAGTTTCAGCCGCGTGAGGGGTGAGGTAGTGCGATGTTCCGGAGGTGATGGAAGGCGGTGCCAGTTGTGCCGCGGATACGAGGAAGAAAGGACAGCTCAGGATCGAACAGAACGAGGAGGTTCCTGATGGCTTTGAGAGTCCCTTCACCTCACTTCCTCCCTTTCCTCCTTCAAAAAGACCCTTCTCTTCGATCGCGCCTTCAGTCGCCCTCCCACCTCTCTGCCTTCCCTCACCCCTACCCCACCCCTCCCCACCGCGCTCGGGCCCCGATCCCTGACTGTCTGGCGCTTTGGGACGTCCTCCCGACGTGAAAGGCGCTCTCTAAATTGCTGTTGTTTAACGTCTCATCCGAAGCACGGTGTCTCTGAAAGTGCAGCGCTCCCTTCTCTCAACACTGAGAGTCAGCCCAGACTGTGAGCTTTAAACCCCAGGTGGAACGTGAGCCCACCAACCTTCAGCCCCAGAGATGTGTGAGCGACTGAGCCGGGCTGCCAGGAAGCTGAGAATGCTGGAACGACATTGGAATAGGATTAATCTATACTGTATGTGTGTGTGTATATGTGTGTGTGTGTGTGTGTACAACAACAACAAGAGTACATTTGTATAGCGCTTTTCACGTCAGGAGGACGTCCCAAGGTGCTGGACAGTGTACAGCATTTCAGGACCCAAGCAGGGGTCGGTGCGGGGGGGTGGGGGGTGGTGGAAGGAGGGGTGGCCGATGGCATGGTCGAAGAGGAGGGTCTTGAGGCAGGATTTGAAGGAGGCTAAGGAGGGGCGATTTGTATGTGTGTGTGTGTGCGTGTGCGTGTGCTGATTAACTGGTATGGATCTGCCCTGTGTCTGTGGTGCTCCCTACAGGCAGCAGCACTCACGCTCAGGCATCCTGTCAGAATTTCTTTAATTAATTACGAGAATTAAGCAGCAATACACAGATCAAAGAACCACTCTTCACACTCCGCTGACCTTGGAGGAGGTTGTTTTGTTCGACGATGATGTACAATGCTTTGCAGAGTCTCTTAGCACAGTGGTTAGTGCGCTCGCCTCACAAGAAAGAGGATTTGGGTTCGATTCCATTACTGGACAGGACAAAACCTTAGCCAAGGTTCCTTACTCCACACGCCTCTGTTTAGCTGCCAATAAGTAGGAGCCCGGTTGTTAATCAATTGTCAGATTGCTTAATGGGGTAACAATCGCTTCAAAATAAAATAAAAAATAATTTGGTCACTCAATCCATGACTGTTTGGCTGCTGTGTTTCAACAACAACAACAACAAATTGCATTTGTAAAGCGCCTTTCACGTCGGGAGGATGTCCCAAAGAGCTGGACAGTCAGACCCACGCTGGGGTCAGGATTGGGGAGGGCGGAGTGAGGGAGGGGGAAGGAGGGTGATTGAAAACACGGTCGAAGAGGAGGGTCTTGAGGTGGGTCGTGAAGGTGGCGAGGGAGGGGGTGAGGCGGAGGGACTGCGGGGTGGAGTTCCAGAGGGTGGGGGTAGAGTGGCAGAAGCCCTGCTCACCAATGGTGGGGCGAGTGAGGCGGGGGGGGGGCGTGAAACACAAAACATCCGGTCAATTCACTTTATAGTGTATCCTGTGAAGCGCTTTGAGACGTCTCAATGATGTGATAACGCACTGCATCGAATGCAAGGATTATCATTAATAAAGGATGATGCAGCCTCGCCTTGTGCTCAGGAGCGGCTGATGACAGGATGACTGAAGGCCAGTGGGAAGGTTGGGTCAATCAATTTATTGATCGATTGATCGCTCCCCTCATCCTGGATCCCCTGGAAGAACATTCAGAAGCCATTAGCGCTTAAGTGTAACATTGGCTCAGTTCCATTTCCGTCTCCACAGTCCACAGGGAGAGGGAGAGTGGGGGGGAGTTTGTGAAAGTGCCCACAGCGACAGCACAGCCCAACGCTGCACTGCTCAGCATAGCGCAGCCTCAGCTCAGCCGCCGGCACAGCCCCGCACAGCATGACACAGACAGACGCAGCCCAGCGCGGGATAGAATGCAGTCAAGCAATGCAACGATCGGGGCACAGGCACAGCTGGCGGAACAGCTGCAATCGCAGTGCTAACAGCTGCTGACCCGATAAATGTGGCTAATAAATAATAGACTTAAAGGGGAGGTGCCGGCCCATTGGCGTGCCATTGGGTGAGGGTGGCAGCGGCGTGAAGGATACCTTAGACTCCACGGATAACTCTGCGTACAGTAAACACTGAAGGTCGAGAGACGACCCCTCGCTGCGACTGTCGAATGGGGAGTTTGTTCTGTCAAGCTGTCTGGGTTGCCATCCGCTTCCAATGGAGAGATCCGGTCAACAACAACATACGACAACAAATTGCATTTGTATAGCGCCTTTCACGACGGGAGAAGGCAGGGTCCCCGGCTGACAATCTCCCCCCCACCCCCACACCCCCCAAATGAAATTGGTCGCTCGATCCACGGGTTTTTGTGGGACGCCGTTGTGCACAAACTGGCTTGCTGCTGTTTCGCCCACAAAGTATACAGTCACTCCACTTTACGGTATATTCTGTGCAGCGCTTTGAGACACTTCGGCAACTTGATAAGGCGCTGCATCAAGTGCGAGGATTATTACTGTTATTGGCGTTGTTATTAGCGCGGTGCCTGGGAAGCGTGGTCCCATGTTTCACTGCTGGTCTGTGCTCCGTAAGAACTCCGGAATTTCACAACTTCCTCTATCATTGTCATTGCAAAAGTGCTTAGATCTGGTTGGGGGCAGGGAGCGGGGGGGGGGGGGGGGGGTGGGCTGTGCAATGTTTGATAACCCCCCCACCACCACCACACACACACACACAGAGCGAGGTCTTTTTGTTCTGCAAACAAGAGGAAATTAGACAAGTATCTGTTACTATAAAGGGGGGGGAAGAGGGGAAGTTATGTGCTGAGAAGGGGCACTGGGAGTTGAATGACCTCCTGTGTTGCAAAATCTTTGCAAATGTTGGCAGATGCAAATTGCTGGTGGCATTCAGAGCCTTGTCCCGCAAGCTTTCCCGCTGTTTGTCCAGCGAGGACCACTCTGCCCATGAGGGCTTTGGCTTGCGGGGTTAGCTGAGTGGGAGGACTCCTTGAACCCCACTGACCGACTGGGCTGCCCGTCCATGTCCTGCCGATGTGCTGCCACCATCAATGCCCTGGAATACTGCGGACTCGCCCGGCTCAGGAACCGGATTGGAGACCGTCACCGAGGGCTGGCCCGATCCTCACATTCCGTCGCTGAACAAACGCACAGTCACTCCGCTTTACGGTACATCCTGTGAAGCGCTTTGAGACGTCTCAACGACGCGATAAGGCTCTGTGTCAAATGCAAAGGACTATTAGTATTAGTGAGGAACGGTTTTAAGGGGAGGGTGGGAGAAATCTCCACTGAAAGCTGCGTGGAGGAAAACCCGTATAACGACCGAGAGAAGCGACAATAACTCCCCCACCCCCTCCCCCACACACTTACACACTCACATTTACACACACACTCACATTTACACACACACTCACATTTACACACACAAACACATTGAGCCATTCATAAATCATTTGTTCAAAAGATAATCAGTGAATGAAAGATTAACTGAATAACCATTTGCAAATCTCTCTCTCCCCCCCACACCCACTCCCCCCCCCCCCTCCCTCCCTCTCATTGATTCGCTAACCAGTGAGATTTTCCGCCAGGCGCAGTGTAATTTTAGGTCACATTGCATTCGCTGACTCTGGTGATGATGATTGTGTAGCAAACAGGAAGTCGCTTTTCTCTCTTGTTTTCTGCTGTGGAGCTCTCACTCCCTCTCTCTCTGCATTATTGCAAAGTGTGTGGACAGACACACACAGACAGACAGAGAGACACACACACAGACAGAGAGACACACACACAGACAGAGAGACACACACACAGACAGAGACACACACACACAGAGACACACACAGACAGAGAGACAACACAGACAGAGACACACACAGACAGAGAGACACACAGACAGAGAGACACACAGACAGAGACACACACAGACAGACACACACACAGACAGAGAGACACACAGACAGAGACACACACAGACAGAGACACACACAGACAGACACACACACAGAGACACACACAGACAGAGAGAGACACACACAGAGACACACACAGACAGAGAGAGACACACACAGACAGAGAGACAACACAGACACATAGACAGACACTCTCACACACACACACAGACACAGAAGACACACATAGAGAGACAACACAGACAGAGAGAGACACACACAGAGAGACAACACAGACAGACACAGACAGTCACACACACATACACAGAGACAGACAGATACACACACACACACACAGACAGACAACACAGACACACGTTTGGAGAATTGCAACACAAAAAAAACCCCCACACGATGGCATTTTAAGGGCACGGAGCGGGGGAGCGGTGAGAGCCACACGATGGCCGGTAAGGACGAGCTTTACAGCAGAGTTACCCCGAGAAGGAATCGCCAGAACCGACCGGGAACCATCAAACACGGGTCCAGTCTGGAGGTGTTCCTCTCTATGGGGTTCCCGAAAGCCAGAGCGTAAGTCCAGACACTGCGTATCCTTTCCCCCCTCTGTGTAATGTGTAATAATGTGTAATAATGTGTAGTGTAATAACGTGTAATAATGTGTAGTGTAATAATGTAATAACGTGTAATAATGTGTAGTGTAATAATGTGTAATAATGTGTAGTGTATTGTAATAATGTGTATTAATGTGTAGTGTAATAATGTGTAGTGTAATAATGTGTAATAATGTGTAGTGTATTGTAATAATGTGTAATAATGTGTAGTGTAATAATGTGTAATAATGTGTAGTGTAATAATGTGCAATAATGTGTCCATTATTGTTACTGTGTCAATGTTCACGTGCGACTGTTTCCAGTAATTGTTACTGTAGCCGTTTGGGGGATTGTTACTGTTTCCCTCTCTCCCTCTATTGTTACTCTCGATGTGGATTGTTTTGTTGCTGTGTTTCCCGATTCTCTCTGCGACGTTGTATCCGCAGCAAAAAAAAAAGGGGTTTCTTTGGCCACATTGTGTGTGGAGAGAGGGAGAGAGAGAGAAAGAGGAAGAGAGGAAGAGAGAGGAAGAGAGGGAGAGGAAGAGAGAGAGAGGAAGAGAGAGGGAGAGAGAGAGAGAGGGAGAGAGGAAGAGAGAGAGAGGGAGAGAGGAAGAGAGAGAGAGGAAGAGAGAGAGAGAGGGGAAGGGAGTCTCTCCTTATTATCAGATGGCCTCCAAAACAGAGGAAGACCAGAGAGAGAGAGAGAGAGAGAGGGAGGAGGAGGGGAGAGGGAAACAGGGGGAGTGTGAGAGATACAGAGAGAGAGAGAGAGAGAAGGAGGGGAGAGGGAAACAGAGGGAGTGTGAGAGATACAGAGAGAGAGAGAGAGAGAGAGAGGGAGAAGGAGGGGAGAGGGAAACAGAGGGAGTGTGAGAGATACAAAGAGAGAGAGGGAGAGAGACAAAGGGAGAAGGAGTGGAGAGGGAAACGGAGGGAGTGTGTGAGAGAGAGAGAGAGAGAGAGAGGGAGAAGGAGGGGAGAGGGAAACAGAGGGGGAGTGTGAGAGACACAGAGAGAGAGACACACACACAGACATCTAAAAGACACATTTAAGAATGCGGAGAAGTCTTTATTCCCCTCTTCCAAAATAAAATCTACATTAATATGATATGTCCGTCACTCGAGAGGGTCAGATTTGGGGACGGTGTGAGGTGGGAAATCTGTGGCTCAATGGCTGACTGACCCTGACTCCGGGACCTGGTATTTCTCTCCCCTGCGCGCGGCTGCGGGTTATTAAACCGTAACCAGACATTTCGATTCTTGGCGATCGATCTCAAGAATTCGAACCCCCCCCCCCCCCGCCCCCGCCACCCCCCCGCACAAAATACACAGTCACTACGCTTCACGGGATATTCTGCGAAGTGTTTTCAGACGCGATAAGCCGCTGTATCAAATGCAAAGTATTATTATTACAAAAATATCGTGCTTTGAAAAGGCAGCTGTTTTGGGGAGGTGGGGGGGGGGGGGGGGCTGGGGGTTGTGGTAAGGGTGGAAAAGAGAGGAGGAATAGTGTCTTTGCTAATGTCTTTTGATGTATTATACCACTACTACTAATAACGATCCTTGCATTCGATACAGCGCCTTATCACGTCTTTGAGATGCTTCAAACTGCTTCACAGAATATACCGTAAAGTGGATGGAGCGACTGTGCGTTTTGTGGGTGAAATTTCTAGGTTGAAAAATTGAATAGTGCCGGGGGGGGTTATTTGGGCAGATAAAATGGTGAACTGTGTTTTGCGCCGTTTTTTTTTTGCTGGGAGTGGGGAGTGGGGATCACGTCTGATGCACAGTATCGTTGACACAAAGCACCCGGCATGTCATGGTGTTAAAGCAATCGTGTGTCTGTCTCTCTCTCTCTCCCGCTCCCCTCTCCCGGTCCAAATCAAAGGTGAATGCGGCAGAACCTCGCATTTCTTAACCTTAATCTTAACCCGCCCAAGATTTTCCAAGGCAAAGCGTGACTGAGAGAGAGAGAAACACACACAGACAGAGACGCAGACAGTGACACAGAGAGAATTGCATTCCATCTGCAATATTGCAGAGCATTTTTCTGTGCGTTGTGTGCTGTTGTATAGTCAACTATATTGTAAAATCTCCCTTCAAACCAAGATAGATAGGTAGATAGGTAGATAGATAGGTAGATAGATAGGTAGATAATTAATCAATTAATTCAGGACAAGCTCGGCTCAGGGGCCCCGTGCTTTGTTCTGCAGATCCTGTGTTATAACAGGGCAAAAGAGGTTTTGCTTTTTTTTGTTATTTGAACGAGGAAGGAAGTGTTCAGAGACAGGATGGAGCCCGCTTGCTCCCCAAGCACCAACCGACCTGCGCTCAGGGTCAATCAGTCACTCCTGGGGACCGGTATTCTGCCTCTAACCCCATTTTCAAAGGTAAAGAGAATTAGAATTACATAGAATATTGAGCACAGAAACAGGCCATTCGGCCCAAATGGTTTATGGCAGCGTTTACGCTCCATGTGAGCCTCCGCCTGCTCTTCCTCAACTGAGCCTATCAGCATAACCTGCTATTCCTTTCTCCCTCATGTACGTGTCTACCTTCTAGCATAATAATAATAATAATAATCCTTGCATTTGATATAGCACATTATCATGTCTTTGATATATATCAAAGCGCTCCACAGATTAAACTGTAAAGGGAAGTGACTGTATATTTTGGGGCCGAAACGCGGCAGCCAATTGCGCAAAGCAACGTCCCCATGAACAGTCGTGGTTTGAGTGACCAATTATTTTTTGAAGGGATTACTACCCCCGGAAAAGCGATCCGCCAATCGCCTAACAATCGGGTTCCTACACGCTATTGGATAAATAGAGACGTGTGGAGTAACAAAACTTGCCCAATGTTTCACCCTGCCCGGGAATTATTCCCGGGTCCTCTTGTTTGTGAGGGGAGCGCACTGACCACTACGTAAGAACATAGCAAATGCTCGGTGAAAGAAGACCAAGGTCCATCCAGTTCTCCATGCTGTAGACTTTCTGGTCATCAACTGCAAATAATAATCCCATTATTAATTAAGTCGATGAAACATGTAATAATTAGTCTTTTGCTGGGCACTGACCCTCTTTTCTCAACCCTCCCCCTAAGCCCCTACCCCCCCCCACACATCTCACACACCGCAACAACACCAATTGTTAAAAGGCCTTGTGAGATGACATGAAAATAATAATAATTCTTCCATTTGATATAGAGCCCTATCATGTCTTCGAGATGTCTCAAAGCGCTTCACCCCACAGCGTTAATCTTTACATTACCAATAGCAACCCGTCTCTCTGTGACTCAAGGTTAATTGCAAATGCAATGTAATGTATTTCAATCACACTCTCCCGGCCTCTCTCCCTATCTCATATTGATGTTGTGATAGCATCTGGCGATCGCTCACCCGTGTCAATTGTTCTCTCTTTAATAATAATAATCCTGGCATTTGATGCGGCGCCTTATCACGTCGTTGAGACGTCTCAAAGCGCTTCACAGGATATACTGTAACGTGAATTGACTGTATATTCTGTGGGTGAAACACGACAGCCAATTGCAGTTGTCCCGCACACAGTCGTGGATTGAGTGACCAAATTATTATTATTATCTTCTTTTTTAAATGCGCATTTAGCAATGAGAACACTCAGGTTAAGGGAAATATGTGACACACACACACGCACACGCACACACACACACACAATAATAACCCTTGCATTTGATGCCGAGCCTTATCACATTGCTGAGACCTCTCAACGCGCTTCACAGGATATGCTGTAAAGTGAATTGACTTTACGGTGTGTTTTGTGGACGAAATGCTTCTTTACCATAAACTAATAATCCGCTGCTGGGCTGTGGGTCCCAATCTGGCATCAGTCACCCTGAGCCTGGCCCAGGCCACCTGTCCCATTTAAAGGAATCTTAAAACATGCAGCTTGCCCTGTCACTCATTGCAAAGGTTCAAATTAACCCAATATTCAACCCTTTTCATTCAAAGGAATGTGTGGTGCTGTTCAAGGGACTTTTTCTCTCTCTCTCTCTCTCTCTCCCTCGAAGTCCTGGCCAACAATCTCCCACCCCGATAAAAACGGCTGTTCTGCGGGGACGTCGCTGTACGCAAATTGGCTGCTGCTTTCGCCCACAAATACACAGTCACCACACTTTGCAGTGAAACCCCTTGAAGCGCTTTGAGACGTCTTGAAGACGTGATGAGGCGTAAGGGTTATTATTATTGTTATTATTGGGGATCCTTAACATCCACCCGAACAGAGCACAGGCGGGAGCTTGGTTTAACGTCTCATCCGAAGGACGGCACCTCTGACATTGCAACCCCCCTCTCCCCCACTCACAGCCATCTTCAAAAACATAACAAGATGAGCATCAGCCCAGACTGTGTCATTCCAAGTCCCTGATGTAGGGCTTGAACCCACAACCTTCTGACTCAGAGACGAAAGTGCTACCAACTGAGCCAGTCTGACACACTGAGCTCACAGTCCAGACTGACATTACAGCGCAGTACTGGAGGTGGGGGGGGGGGGGAGAAGAGAGACCTTAATCTAACAGGCCCCGTCTGTGTCTGCGTGGGTGGATGTTAAAGATACTGAGTGTGTCAGAGAGAGGAAAGTTCCCTCCCTGTGTCCTGTCTGACCGACCGACTGACCTTCAGATTAATTAATTGATTACTCACCTCACAGTTGATGCTTAAAATGGCTGCTCCATTTCCAAACAAAATCAGTCACTACACATGCAGGTGATTACTGTAAACTCTTTGAGAACTTCTGTTATAAGACACTGGAAGAATGCAAGTCTGAATCACCCCCCACCCCAACACTCTCGTGCACACATATACACTCTCACACACACATACGCACTCTTACACATACACACTCTCACATACACAAACTCTCACACTCTCTCACTCACATATAATACACACAAAACACATACTCTCACATACACACAAAACGCATACACACTCACACACATACGC